ATCTGATAATGATGTTTCATTTTTAGCAGCAGTAACATTACTCAAAGTATATGTCGGACCCAACTCATGTACAGTATGTTTTGCATCTCCTCAACAATGGTCTGTATAGTTGAGTAGAAACAAACTGTCTCTACAGTTTCAAGTAGATTAACACACATTTGTAAGAAAAGTTTACAATGAAGCACAAAACCCCTCTTTGTATTAAAGGTGGGGTAGGTAAGTTTGAGAAACCGGCTCGAGATACACTTTTTGTTATATTCCATGGAATGCTCTTAACATCCCGATAGCAATGAATATCTTAAGTGCTTTGACAAAAAATCCATAAAAAAATGTCATCTGTGGAAGCTGTAGTACTGTAAAAAGTACGACCAATCATTTTAGCCGGCCCGGCTAAAATAACTGGATGGCCTACCTGCCTGTCAGCCTTCCATCTGTGCACAAACTTATCTCGTGCCCTCATTGGTCATGTGCGCGTTCGTGTGTGTTGGAGGAGGGGCTCTATAAGGAAGTGGCAGATTTTCTCCGGTTGTGTATTTTCAAATTCTAGCGATCTCGAGCCGGTTTCTCAAACTTACCTACCCCACCTTTAAGCGAGCTGCCACATAAAGTACAGCTTAACATGCTAACCTTTGGTAGAGTTAGCTAACGTTAGCTAACTTCATGTCCAACACAAAACCTCTAACGTCCCTTACATTCACAATTTTAAACAAAACTTAAAGGTCCCATGTCATGGCCATTTCTACTGATCATAATTCCATTGTTGAGGTCTCCTAAAATAGATTTATATTGTGCAATTTTCCAAAATCACACTGGTTTCTCATACAGCATCTCTGTATAGTATGTGTATTCACTCTGTCCTAAACGGCTTGTTGGAGTTCCTGCCCCCCCCCCTCCCTGTGAGCCCAGTGGCCGTCTGCGTGACAGTGAGACACAGCGAAACCCAGCCTGAACACACACACACACCCGCAGCCTGGCTGGGAGTTTGTGTGTGTGCTCACACACCAACGCACAGCCTCGCCGCGTCCCGCCGTCTCGGAGGAGAAATCGGCGGAGCTGCAGCTGAGAAAAGATTGAGTGTGTGTGTGTGTGTGAGGAAGTCTGCGGATTGTAACGTAACGGCTCCGCGGATTGGTCCATTTGGACCAATGGGTCCTTTTGGGCATGGGCACGTCAATGTACCCAGGAAGAAAACAATGGAAAAATAGAAATGTCCAACGAGGCGTTCTGGGGCAGCATCGACAGGTATTTTCTGTGTTAGAGTTTTACTCGCTACAGGGTGTATTTTGAGGGTTTTTGACTCTGCAGACCGTTTACATGCATAAAGACCTTCATAACACACAAGGGGATGGGTAATAACCGGAAAAGCATGACATGGGACCTTTAACTCTCTCAACTTGTAAAATAATGTTAATTTAAAGTAGACCTATCATGCTATATTTGAATAATATATTGTAGGGCCAAACCTATATAAGGTATATTTATACGTTTTATTTTTCAAAATACCAAACAGATCATGCATTTTAGCCATGCCTCATTTCGCTCTATTTTGCTCTCCTCCAGCCCTGTCTTTGCATGAGGTGCAGCTGACCACGCCCCCCTGCAAAGGAGGGGGCCGAGGCACGAGCGTCATGTTACCATGCTGTTACCATGCCACGGCAACCTCTCATTCCCCTGATAGGTGGAGAGTTGCCCATACAGGCGGAGCACCCCCGTTGCTGACATCAGCGCGTGTTCAAATCTGAATCAGTCTGTATCAAATCCGTTGCAGCCCCGTTTTTTAGAGATTTGGGTATGGAGGAAAGGAGAGAGGGTTTTATTTTCTGACGCTGCGTGAGTTCCCCGACGCACCGGGGACACATATATATAAAATACATCACAAAGTGCATTTTGCATGATAGGTCCCCTTTAACTTACCCTTAAATAACTACATCAAGTTTTTCAGGGGCAACACAAACTGCAGAAAACGTTAGCTGCTAACTGTTGTTAGCTAAGACAGCTAGCTCGTAACAATAGCCTCCTAGCAAACGTAAGGTCACGTTAACATTAACGTAGCGTTGTAAGAAAGCAAAATGAACCTTCGAGAAAGCTTTTACTCTCAGACTGGGTGTAATGGTGTAGCGTTGCTTACCTCCAGAAGGACTTTTAGCTGTTTCCCAGTAGAGACTAGAGAGAGCTGTCATAGGGCTTTCACACCAACGCGATTCCCGTTCTAGCTCCATGCTAGAGCTTTTCTGGTTCGGACAGGGTTCGAGTTATAAACTGAGCTCTATGGGGGTCTTTAAAACTAAAACTTAACGCACGCACGCACACACACACTCAAACATTATACACTCAGCCAGGCCACTACCAGTTTTGTTTTGTGCCATTTTGCTGGATTTATTTGTCAATATTTACAGCGTTGCTGCCCATAGTGATAGCCCTATAGTTTAAATCTACTACCCAAAAATAAACATATGGACATGGGTTGGGTTACTATTTAAAAAAATTACAAATGTATTTAGGAACCTATCCAACATATTTTCAGTGGGGGTGGATCTCAAATCCTCTAGGGGGGTCCGGGGGCATGCGGTAAGATATTTTTTTTAATTTTGGAGTTAAATGCATCAATCTGGTGCACTTTGAGGGGGAAATAAAGAGACTAGATCTATGGAAACACCCATATGAAACAGAACTGTATACATTTAAATAATCATAAAATCATAAGAACATGGCCATGGCCCATAACCAATAATATACCATATCCAATATGAAAAAACATTGAAACTTGTTTATTTATTTATTTATTTTTGGTTCATATTGTGAGTGTGTCTGGGCTCCTGAATCAGCCTCACCTGTCTCCCTCCTCTCCCCCCTGCTCCTCTTTGAGGCAGCAGCAAAGACTTTAAAAGAGTATCTTACATTCCTGTTCCAGTCATTGCCTATTGTGATCCCTAAATCTATTTTTAAATTACTGGACAAAATAATATCAACATTCCTGTGGCAAAATAAAAAACCGAGAATGGTGGGTTGAATCTACCTAATTAAAATATTACTATTGGGCAGCACAAATTAGAGCAATAACCATGTGGATAACTGAAGACACGGAAACTATTTGGGTTGATATGGAACAAAAATCATGTAATAATCTACCTGTGGGAGCACTTCCATTTTTGACAGAAAAGGCACATGGGGTTGGGGACTTGCAATGAGTGGATCAGGGCTATGATGAAGATATGGTCAGAGGTACGAAAGGAATTAAAACGGTCAAACTCAGGGCCACTAAAATAGCTACAAACCCAGACATTTTACCATCTATTATGGACTCAGGATTTAAAAGATGTGAAAATAAGGGGTTAATATATATTACACAACTCTTTACTGGACAAACCATTAAATCATTTGAACAACTGAAACAGGAATTTAACCTACCATCCTGTGACTTTTATAGATTCCTGCAACTGAGACATTACCTTCAGAAGCATAGGGAATGGGAAAACATTCGCAAAGCCCCATCTAAACTAGAGGCACTGTTAATGACATATACAGGGGACGAGACAAAAAAAGGTGCTATATCTACACTTTACAAGGTACTACATTATGAATGTAACAGCAACAATAAGGATGTCAAAGAAAAATGGGAGTTGGAAGCGAATATTATAATATGCGACGAGGATTGGGAAGAAACATTCAAGGTGGGACATACAATAACAAACAGTCCAACATGGAGGGAATTTGATTGGAAGGTGAAAATGAGATATTTTAACACCCCCTCTATCACTCAAATATAGCAATACCTCTAATTTGTGCTGGAGGGGCTGTGGACGGGTGGGAGACTTCACACATATATTTTGGGACTGTCCAAACATTCAGGGCTTCTGGAAGGATGGCGTGTGGTGCAGTGGGTTGTCCGTTGGTGTTCGGTTCAGGGGGTCACAGGTTCAAACCCCACTGCAGTCAGCATGTCGTTGTGTCCCTGAGACACTTCACCCCAAATTGCTCCTGTGGGGATTGCCCACAGTATTGAGTATGTGAGTCGCTTTGGATAAAAGCGTCTAACAAGTAACATGTAATGTTCAAAAGCAGATGAAACGGGTGCTGGGCATTACCTTTACTTTGGACCCAGCACTTTATATACTGCCCAGTGATATGGACAGAAATGTAGCTTTCTTACTAACAATTCTTCTTCTAATTGCGAAAAAAATGATAACGGTCTCGTGGCTGAAGCCGCAGCCCCCCAATATAGTCCATTGGAGAAACAGGGTAAAAAATGTTTATTTAATGGAGAAAATCACAGCAAGACTACGGCTGAAAACTGATACATTCGAAGAAAAATGGTCCCTAATACATGCAACACCAGAACTCTAGCAGCACCTCTTTATTTATTTATTTTCGTTTATTTATTTTTCATTTATTTTTATTCACTGCACTTGTACTTGTTTCATCTGGATGGTAAAGCACTGGCTCTTACTATCATAATGGTTCAGGTATTGTGCGATCATGTTGCCGATGAGGGGGAGTGATAATGTCTATAAAAAAAAAGTGTATCTTACCTTTTTTCACCTAGTTAACATTTTCTTTCTTTTTATTCATGCATATTTTTCTAATCACTCCCCCCTCAAATGGAAATATGTGTTTACATAAATGGTGACCAAACCGTTTGAGACCCACTGAGATAACTGACTAAGTTAACTATCTAAACACCCAGAGTCCTTAACCTCACCTGAGCTGTAGTTATCAGAGACTCTCAGAAAAAAATGTTTAAGTAACCAATGTGATATCTTTTCATGGGGCCCAAAATCCCTGGCGGCGCCCCTGCATAGACCCAAACTACAATCCATCCTCTGATGAGTCCTCTGTCCCTGAAAATGAAGACAGTCTGGCAGCAACTTCAGAACATTATGGTCCTCATCTAGACTAGAGTATAACATTGTGATTGTAGCCCAGCTGCGTGTGATCCAATCAGCAGCAGCAGGTGTGATAATGAAGGTGAGACCAGACCAGACTACTTGGCTCTCCCGTCGCAGCACTCCACCACGCGCTCCTGTCTCCCGCATCATGTCGGTGTTCCCGTGGCTTCTTTGGATTTTGTTTCGTGGTACTATAGGAGGTCCGGTTCAGCACGCGACATGGTCGGAAGGGGCAGGCCTAAATCCGGTACAGACACCACAGCATGAAGCCACGAATCCTTCGTTCTACCACCTGCCCATGTTCCAGCATGCACGGTGGCCACTTGTATCACCGGAGCTGTTTCGTCCGTTCCTTCAGAAGAGCCCGCTGCCCACCGGACTGAATGCTCTGCTGTTCCCGCAAGCGAGACCACAGCACAGCGTCACGGGGACGGGGTCACGCGCTGTGCACGTCTGGTGCGGGTTCGATGATATCTCTGTGCGCGTCGACCGCCTCCATCTGAGCACGTGGACCGATCCATCGCTGTTTCGACTCGGCTCGTGCCCGGTCAGCAGGGTCAGCCCCCGCTTTCTGTACTTCCACCACAGACTGAGCGACTGCGGCGGAGGGCCTCAGGTGGGAACACCTGACAGTATCATTACTTCGTGAAACAATACAGCAATATTATTGAAACATTACAACAACATTAGTGAAACAACACAGCAACATTACCTCAACATTAGTGACACATTACAGTAACATTATTGAAACATTACCTCAACATTAGTGACACATTACAGTAACATTATTGAAACATTATAATAACATTAACAACATACTCTCAATGTTAGTGAAACATTATCATAACATTACCAATATTATAACATTGCTGCAACACCACAACAGTATCATAACATTGCAACAGTATTCAACAGAATTAATGAAACATTACAGCAACATAACCTCAACATTAATTACAGCAACAATACCATAACATTACTGCAACATCACCTTTTCATGAATGAAACATTACCATAACATTACAGCAACACGTTTTCAAGAAAGAAGCATTACCGTAACAGTATCATAACAGTACTGCAACATTACCACGGTACAAGTAATGGTACAATGTACATTTACTCTAGTGCTGTACTTAAATGCAGGTAGACTGTACTGTGCCTTAGTATTTTCTTTACAGCCACTTTATACTTCTACTCTACTGCAAATTAAAGGAAAATCTTGTACTTTTTACTTTACTACATTTATCTTACAGCTTTAGTTACTTTACAAATGTACTTCATTGCATAAAAACTGAAAAATATAATCTTGATTTTTTTACATAAACAGCTTTTTGAGAGATTGCGAGAATATGTCGGCATTTATAAATATTGATTACCATTACCAGTTGCACGGTAAATACTGCCTACCCTTATACAGACAATCTATTTAATGGTTTAAGTTTACTGAATTAATAAAAGATAATGGTCTCCTAGACTTCTTTACAATCGGACTAATTTATTGCAAACAGTGGAATTGCCCCTTGCTGTAAAATCTCACCGATGCAGACTGCCATAAAAAGAACTGTTCAAGAACAGCAAATCATATTATGCTGAATCATCAGCTTCTAAAATAAAGTAAATGCTTAATTTTTATCATTCTAAAGTGGTCCTGCTGTTTAAACAATCAATCAGCGTTTGGCACAGTGAGTTGTGCGCAGGTGTTCGGATCAGGGGGTCACAGGTTCAAACCCCACTGCAGTCAGCATGTCGTTGTGTCCCTGGGCAAGACACTTCACCCCAAATTGCTCCTGTGGGGATTGTCCACAGTATTGAGTATGTAAGTCGCTTTGGATAAAAGCGTCTAACAAGTAACATGTAATGTAATGTACAACAGCGTTGGTTTTAACATGGTGAAGCTAATCTGCAAAATGTTCATAAACTTGTTCAATCATCAACGATTGAGGCTGTTGCATTTTTAAATAACATTAGGCTCTAAGAATCCAGAATGAAATATAGTGTACAGTAGATGGATTCAAATAGCTTTAAATGTAGATGGAATTCATTCCTATTGAAAATGTCTTATTACTGTCTCCCAGGTTGTTGGCGGCCAGCTGGTGTACAGCTATGCGCTGTGCTATACTCCACCTCGGCAAGGCTACGTCATCAGAGTCGTACCACTTAACTTCCCGATCTATTGCAATTACAACAGGTAACTTCAGGACCTTCCAAGGCATTTAAAGAAGTATGTGTTATCCTGTCACCACTCTGACCAAGAAAATCATCAAGGCTCATGTGTCTTAGGAGATGAGGAGGTTTCTACACGTCTTTTATTGGACTTGCAAACAGAATAACATGTTTGATGCATAAAGCTCCTAATTTAAACATTAAGTGATTGTTGAATGGAGCAGACTTAAACTGACTTGTTGAAAATAATATCTGGAAAAGAACTGGAAGGACCAGGATCTGATCATCTACTCTTTGGTTTGTGCTTGGTACATGTGCCTGGTACCTATAGCCCTACCTACTAACTAAGTTTGTGAAGCAATCTGTGGTAGTGTCACTGGTTTTCTTCTGTATAGGCTTGATGAATGATCTCTGTTACAGTTTGTGTCTGATGTGTGGAAAGGGCCAACATCTTCATTTATGCTTAGTGAATGAAGTTAAGGCTGCTGAGCCACTGCATGAGAAACACCATTGTGTGCAGCGCATATTAGTCTTCTCGAAAAACAGTTAGATCTCTAGATGATTTCCCCCTTTGTGACAACTGTACGGGTGTCAATTTGGATATCACTCATCAGATTGTATTCGTATCAATGATTAAAGTTATGGATTATGAGGGATGTGGCAGTTTTGGCGACGGGTGGGTGCTGTCTCAGGTTACGAGCTGTCTGTTCTGCTGTGTCCCTCGGGCGCCTCACCTTCACCACAAATCCCTATTATTATTATTATTATTATTATTATTATTATTATTATGTGCATATTTTATATAGACATTGGTGGAAAGTGTTGGTTTAACCTTCTTGCAGTATCTTGGCATGTAATGTGACTTTTTATCAGCCTCTGCCATGATCTGGTGGAATATATCTCATATTAAAATCCTCTTTGTCTGTCTCAGGTTCCATTACTCCTACCAAGTTGGCTTCAGACCTCAAGTTCAACACACAATCTTAATGAAGAGCATCAGGAGTAGACTCAGCTACAGCCTCACTGTCTGCAATGGTAAGACACCTACAGAATAAAAAGTGTTTGCTATTATTTGCACAATATGACATGTTAGCTGTAAATATCTGAATTTAACAGTTGACATCAAGTGCTCAAAGTCTACACTGAACACTGTCATTCTGATATTAATCGGCATATTGGTCTTGTCTGCACGTGTGTGTTTTAACAGCCCAGGGAGAGCCCGTCCCATCAGGCCATTGGTTCTTTTTAGGGGAGCCGGTTTATTTTGTTGCCCAGGCAGCAGCTCTGTTGGCTGGGGAGAGGCTATATGTGGACTCCTGCTATGCCACAAGCTCCAGCGACCCACACAGTGTGCACAGAGCGGACATCATTACTAACTATGGGTGAGTCTCTAGTAAGGACACAGGTAGTTTACAGTCATTGTTTGTCACTCTACATGTCCTGATTGATTCGTGCTTTCATTTTTGATGCAGCTGCATGCCAGACAGCAGGAGGGTGGGCAGCAGCTCCCGCTTCCTGCTGGGAGGGGGCAGTGTGCTGAAGTTCTCTGTGGATGCATTTCTCTTCAGAGAACTCTCACAGGTAAGACCAATTTAAGTGTTTTGCTGAGGATAGGATAGTATACTTGTTAAGGTTAACATTTATTTATTGAAATATGAAAATAGTTTTTCTACTCTCAAAAAAATGGGTCCAGGTACTGTTCATCCAGTGAATAACAGAGCACTTATATACTAATAAAGGACTGGCTTATCTAAAGCCAGTTGAGTAGCACTTGAAATGTTTTGGCTCTATGAAACCTGATGTACATATATGATTCTGTTTTCTTCAAGTTTGTATCTTCCTGGTCGAATGCACTTATTGTAAGTTGCTTTGGATAAAAGCGTCAGCTAAATGCAATGTAATGTAATGTAATGTAATAACATGCACTTTTTCTGGTTAACTGTAATATGTAAAACAACCCCCCACCTACACACTTAGTTGGTTGACCTTTACAGATTAATATTATTATTATTATTATTATTATTTTTAATCAAGTCTACACCCAAAACATTTGGGGCCCTGTAAAATGGTTATTGGAAACGACTACTATACCATGAATGTAGTGTAAAATATTTTACATATTGTCAAAGCATGTGAAATGATGGGTGGAGCTGGTTGATGGAGCCTGCTTTAGAACCCACTTATGCTGATACATTCTTTGTGTGCTTATTTTACAGCAATGAAGTATCTCCATGTGTAATGCACTGTTGCATGCTTCCTTCAGTCTGTCCACTTTTGTCTTGGGTCAGGGCACTTATCTTCACCTTCCCATATCGTCTAATGAGCACCAAGAATAGTGTTGCGTCACTGACTCTTTTTATATCGCTATTTCCGTGTAGCCCACTTTCCAAGAGTTTGCTCATGGGCCTACAGTGAGTAGGCACACACTCCAAGACCAAGTCTGTAGGATGTTGATGTGAACTTCCTTTACATGGCTCTGAGAGATTACTCTTACAGTACTGAATGTATTGGACCGATGTATCTCATCGCTTTAACTTGTATCGGTGTAATAATCTTTATTTTATAGTCTGAACCTTCTCAAATCATGTGCATAAAGGTCACAATGACTTGAGTTATTTTACAGATGAACAATGATTATGTTATTTTACCATTACATTAGGGCATCCTTCTACCAGAATCGCTAAGACTGAAGACTAACCCCTAGATTCCACCGGGTCCATCTGCGTCACGTTACGGCCACGTTACGGCCGCGCCGCGGCGTTCGCAAAGATCGTGGCCACTCTAGTCAATGGGTGCTATTCCACCAGACGCGCCGCGTTACGGCTCAGAAGCGTCCCAGAAGCGTCTCGGCGCTGGGCTCCGCTCAAAATAGGATTGAAGTCTATTTTTCTACGCGTTGCAGAGGCGCCGGGCAGGAAGTGGACCGGTCAGAGCATCCGGCCCATCCCCAAAATAAACTAATTTTGTAGACCCTATCCCTCCGTAGTCTTTCAAGTAGGAGGAATGCCAGCGTTCTCCTCCGGTTTACAGGCACTGTGTAAAATATATATATATATATATAGTATATATATATATATATATAATATATATATATATATCTATATATATATATATATATATATATATATATATATATATATATATATATATATATATATATATATATATATATATATATATATATATATATATATATATATATATATATTTTACACAGTGCCTGTAAACCGGAGGAGAACGCTGGCATTCCTCCTACTTGAAACTTGATATATATATTTATATATATATATATATATATATATATATATATATATATATATATATATATGATGATGAATGCATTTTTTTACCGCTAAAATACAGCAACACATCTTTGATTCATGTCGTTTATAACTGGAATATTACAGTTATTATTAACTTTGTCTGTACAAAGTAGCCTGTCCAGGAAATATGCCCAAATCAACAAAAACTGCGAGCCGGCAGGCAAGACGCTCCGCTTCTGAAATGCTTCTGAAACGCGCCCGGTAGGGTATGACGCCGGAGGAGGCCGGACACACAACCGGACCCGGTGGAATCTAGGGGTTAGATAGATATTGAAGAAGTGCTGGAAGGATCCTGCAAGCTGCGCAGTACATACCTTAATGACATGTTAACTAAACTAGTGGATCTATAAACCCAGCAGCGACTTTATAATCTGCTGTGTGTCTGATTGTAGGTGCTGTACCTCCACTGTTCAATGTCAGTCGGTCTCACCACTTCCAACTCCTCAAAGTCCTGCAGCTACGACCAGGCTGCTGGCAGGTAAGCAACGCTATTAACATAAACCACTTCAAGTGTATCACAGTTAAATCAGAGTGATCATTACATCATGTAAATCAGTGTGGCAATATATTTGGTGTGAATTCAGTGGTAGATTGTGTGTGTTTGCATGTGCACTGATGTTTGTGTGTGCAGGTGGGAGGAGCTGACGGCCGCAGCCTCAGTGTGCTCCTGCTGTGACTCCATGTGCGGCAACATACACCAATGTAAGTTCTGGAAACAAATTTCTCCAAATCACATAACTGAAGATAAGTCAACACATCAGTGATTATGTGCAATGAAATAACACATTTATTATTTCGCATTGTAGATACGACTTGGTCATGATAAAGGTTTTATTGTCATATGCACAGTAGCTACAGTGTAGTTAAGGCAATGAAAGTCTTCACTTGCAGTCTACATAAATATACATAACACAGAATACATTAAAAACTGTGTAAAAAGAAACATAATGGAAATAAAATAAAAAGTTGCAAGTGACCAATGTGCAAGTAATGCAGGAGAAGTAGACTATATACATGTTAAATAGACTAAGATTAGCTAAGAACAGAATGTACAATTACATACTATACAATACTGCTTATTGTAGCAATACATTTATATTTGAAATGCAAACCGAATGATGCTTAAGGTTATGAAGGCACTTCACAGAGCTCATGAGTTTAGCAGTCTTCTGGCCTGTGGGATGAAACTGTCCCTGAGTCTGGTGGTTTTAGTCCTGATGCTGCGGTACCGCCTGCCAGACGGCAGCAGACGGAACAGTTTGTTGGTGGGGTGATGGGGGTTGTTGAATGACAGTATTGCTGTTTAATCTCTGGCTTTATATGTTCTCCTGCTTCTCTAAGCAGCTATCAAGAACGTAGTCAGCAGTCCAGGCTTGCTCATCAGACAAAGAAGTGACGTGAAACCAAGGGGGATGGAGATGTCTCTTCAAGCAGAGGAGGAAAGAGACTGGGAAGATCCAGAAGAGAAGCTGGAAGAGGAAAAAGATGAGAACCATAAGGAAGTCCAGACTTTTCCACAGGAGACGGAGCAGGAAGAAGCCAGTCCTAATGAGACAAAAGCTTGGAGAACAAGTGATGTAGTCACTCAGCAGGGAAACGGACAGGAGGAGGACGTGGGAGAGACGGAGGTGGTGATGGATGAGACGGACAGCCAGCTGAAAGAGTTCTCTACAGAGGACATCATGTCTGACCAGAGTACACCAGAGGAGTTCTCAAGTACCGAACATGCTTCTGTGATTGGTTTGTCCAGTGACAACATCAGCACTGATGCTTCTGGTACCAGCGCTACAGCTTCCAGCTTTGCGATTGATTATGATGATACAAGTAATCTTGGTTCTGCAGAAAATGTTTCCACAGCTCCACTTCCTACCAGTGAGCTTTGTGCTGATGGTGATCCAAAGAGCTGCAGCACCACCATTAATAGTACAGCAGGTGGGGCACAAAGCTTCACCCCTGATACTGTTGTTGGAGCAACCAATAGATCTGGTTCTCTTTGGGGCACTGATGCTTCTGGTACCAGCGCTACAACTACAGCTTCCAGCTTTGCGATTGATTATGATGATACAAGTAATCTTGGTTCTGCAGAAAATGTTTCCACAGCTCCACTTCCTACCAGTGAGCTTTGTGCTGATGGTGATCCAAAGAGCTGCAGCACCACCATTAATAGTACAGCAGGTGGGGCACAAAGCTTCACCCCTGATACTGTTGTTGGAGCAACCAATAGATCTGGTTCTCTTTGGGGCACTGATGCTTCTGGTACCAGCGCTACAACTACAGCTTCCAGCTTTGCGATTGATTATGATGATACAAGTAATCTTGGTTCTGCAGAAAATGTTTCCACAGCTCCACTTCCTACCAGTGAGCTTTGTGCTGATGGTGATCCAAAGAGCTGCAGCACCACCATTAATAGTACAGCAGGTGGGGCACAAAGCTTCACCCCTGATACTGTTGTTGGAGCAACCTATAGATCTGGTTCTCTTTGGGAGTCAGATATTAGAGACTTTGAGACAGTTGGGAAACACTCTGCCACCGGTGACTTGGGAATGGATATCCCAGGTTTGTTTAATATCAGCAGGCTGGAGGCAGATCAGAGTGACTCGCTCCTCTGGTCAGAACAGTCTGACTGGATACAAGGCCAAGCAGAAGATGAAGAATACTTTTCTGATGCCACTACAAGACCACACAGTGTCAGTTATTTGAGTTTAGAGGACATGCATGAAGACAACCCCAGTCACTCTGCTTTGTGAGCATCTCCTCCGCCCTGCAGGGCTCTGTGAGCAGCCTGCCAGCTGATCTGGAGCCAGCACCGGGCTTGCACAGCTTGGGGTTTGTGGAGGAGTGGCCAGTAGAGGAGTTGGGACAGAAGCTGATGGATGACTTCTATCAAGATGAGATTAATTATCAGAAGAGTTCTAACACTGGTTTACTGTGGTTTACATAAGAATGGACACAATATTTCACTAGAGTTTTAAACATGTCTGAGTCTGACCCGACAAAAACAGCACATGAAATCCTGTGCTGCTGTATTTATTACATTGTTTTGTACATGTTTCAATATTTATGAAAGTCTTAAGAACAGCTTTGCCGGGGGGAAAGGTAAAGTCAGAAGTCATAGTGGGTCATGTAGAATCCATCCAGCAGCAGGAAATGAGTCAGTTAACTTTACAACCCTTTCTTTCAAATGCTGTAACTTTCCTATGATTGTAGAACCTCAGTCATTTTGAAACCTTTCTGTAAATGTCAAGGATCATAAACAGCTCTTAGTGCTCACATGAAAAATATGAAACCAGGAGAGACTTTCAGACAAACCTTTCCAAGACTGGAGGAGAACCTTATGTTCAGCTGCCTGTAGCCATGATGTGGACATGTAATGAATAAACTCCTCTGACCAAGCTCTTACCTACCTTTGACTTGTTGTCATTCTATATACATGTGAAAAATCTATTGTGTAAAAAATACAAGGGGTTTAGATTGTTTAAAGTCATGTTTTATATTCTTTAGAAATGTCCTAAACAATAGGCGCTTTCACACCAAGTACTTTGCCGTACTTAGTTCATCAGAACTTAGTTCATCAGAACTTAGTTCATGAGAACTTGGTTCTGATGAACTCTTCAGTTCTGATGAACTAAAAAGCAGATCGCGTTCACACCGGAATAAGTCCCTGAGGGAGGATTAGGCAAAAGAAGCCGCTGACGTCACTTCTTCTTCTGCTTTGGGTTTACTGGCAGGCCGCAAACAACTTCACGGCCTATACTGCCACCCGGAGTCCCCGGCCGGAAGTCCCCGGAGTTGGGGACTGGCTTCAGTAGAAGCTGCTGGGACTCCCAGCGGCTTCTACTGAAGCCTTCCGAGTAAATCGCCAGAACGCCGACATCTCCTCATCACTCCACCGCTTCCACGTTTTATTTTGTGTTGCCATAAGTTAGTCTCTCTCAGTTGGTGCGCTGGGCTAATGCTAATGCTAATGCTAATGCGAGCAAATAAAATGGCGGCTTCACAAAACTTTTTGGGAGTTTTACAGGGGGGTGGTTTGCAATCCGCCCAGCCAATCAGAAATGGGAACCTTTTTCTCCCACGAAAGTACCTGCTCTCTAGCAGGGACTGAAAAGGTTCTCATGAACTAAGTTCTAGTTCCGGATTGTTTTTGGTGTGAACGCACATTTTCGGAACTATACTGTGCTATAAAAGTGCTTTTTATGGTATGAAGGGTGAACAGAACATTGTCAAGTGGGCCCTACTCCCTCTTAAGTGAGGACAGTGAGTTTGAGGGCAGTGATAGTGGGAGAATGAGAACGGGCCAACAATCGGGCTCGAGAGGCAAAGAAAAATGCTCTGTTCTTATAGTTAAACCAATAATTATAAATATTTAGGGAAATGGGAGACTGGACAGTTACACACCCACAAATATACACAATGCTTAAAACGTATTGACAAATGTATATATAATATGTGTCCCGTGCTAATATCTGAAACTACAGCATCTCTACAGGATGAGTGATCTGGAGCAACCGAAACCAAACAAGCTTTATCACACTTTCATTTAAATGTATCACTGGTTCCACTGCACTGGTGGCAGGAACATGGCTCACCACAAATTGCGTCATGTGTTTCAATAGTTACTGATTCTGTAGCACCGCAAGGTGCAGAGGCTCTTGAAGTGACATCAGAATCAGAATACCTTTATTACCTTTATCCATGGAGGGGAAATGTGCGTAGTTACAGCAGGAAAAAGAGACAGACAGCTTAATGTTACATGTGTGACATGCATTTTTTTTTTAAAGTACTAAGTTATGATATAATTAAAAAAATATATATAATAAAAAATAAAAAGTGTTGTGCTGGTTGTATAGTTTGACCGCTGCAGGAAGGAAAGACCTGCGGTATCTCTCCGTGAGACAGCGGGGATGCAGCAGCCTATCGCTGAAGGAGCTGCACAGTGAGGACAGGGTGTTCTGGAGGGGGTGGGACACATTGTCCAGCAGGGAGGACAGCTTGGCTGCCATTCTCCTGTCTCCCACCACCTCCACAGTGTCCAGAGGACTCCCCAGGACAGAGCTGGCCTTCCTTACCAGTCTGTTCAGTCTCTTCCTGTCAGCAGCCGAGATGCTGCTGCCCCAGCAGGCCACACCATAGAAAATGGCTGATGCCACAACAGTCATAAAATGTCTGAAGGAGTGCCCCCTGCACCCCGAAAGACCTCAGTCTCCTCAGCAGAAAGAGTCTGCTCTGTCCCTTCTTGTACAGAGCAGCAGAATTATCAGTCCAGTCCAGTTTATTGTTCAGATGAACGCCCAGGTATTTGTAGGATTTCACAATCTCAATGTCCGCTCCCTGGACGTTCACTGGTGTCGGGGTGGGGGGGGAGTGTTGGCGCCGTCTGAAATCCACATATTAATGAATTTGCTTCAGCTGCAAAGATCACTCTTCAACACTTCATGCATTACTCTTATAGCTGCTACAGTTAAAACATAATGTAAAATGAATACAATTGTTATTCATGGCACATTTATTTAAGCATGTAATCAGTCTTTTCATGTGGGCAGCAGCAGAAGTGATGGACTGATGAATGATTGTTCAAGGTTCAATGTTAACAATGGCTCATTCCGATATTTGACTTCAGAGTCTGCATAATGTAGAAAAGTAATATTAAATCCACAGGTGATATAAAGAACACATCTTCATAAAGAAACAATAGTTGCGAAACTCAAGTTTAATAGGTTTGGTATTAACAGAAGAAGATAAAGCTTTAAGGTTAAGGACGAGTCTTATACAAATACAATGTTTAAAACACACATATTTACTGGCCATTGATGTGAAAATCAAGCCAACCTATCTTTGGTGTTATACTTTCACATACAATACATGCAAAAATAATGAATAAGAACATGTTGGGTAATTTAGTCCATGTCTTCCTTTGAATGCAGTCTATGATGTATAACATATGTTCAAATGTTTTTTCAGAACTCTCTTACAGTGTTATAGATGTGTCAGCTATGAAGATAACACAATTGCAGTTATATTGTTTAACCCCTAGATTTCAAACTTTAAGTTTTCTTGACTTTATATGATAGCTTGCACATTATGTGCAGAGCTGAGTGTTTGTGAATTAAGATTATACAAAGAAAAGGTCAGCCTTGAAATTCCTATCCCCTCTGCAGTATGTCATGGTTTCTCTGCATATGAGGTATGCATTCGGTACAGGAAGTTATGTTCTTGAATGTTTGACTGGGCCCTATCTGACAATCATTGACTCATGCGCTTCATCCGGGTCAAGTTTGGGTAAGCTGGCAGAGTATGTACTCTGATATCTCAGCCAGCACCGGCTTCACCCCGTTCTCCTGATGCTCTGCTGGAAGTTATGTAGTGGTGAGTAGATACCCACCCAGAAACATTATGTTGGCTAACGATGTAGACTTGGTTCGAGATATCCCCTCTCCGTGCCCATGCAGGTAAAGTCTGGGCTGCAAACATGTTTATATATCCTGTAACATTTGGGATTTTAAAAGGGGGGTCCATGGAAACCAGACCCAAGAGGTAAAAAAAAATGTGAACACTTTATTCATTGGGTATTTCATACATAACACAAGAACAGGAGAAAATACAGAGTAGCAGAGGGGTTCTGCACTCTTCCACAATAGAGCAATACATGTGTTGCCAGTTTGATTAGGCGCACCTTATTCCTTTTGTTTGAAGGGATGTCAGAAATGTCGCCTAACAGTGCTAATTTAGGTGTACAAGGAATCACAAAACCAGAAATCTCTTTAAGAATCTCCCATATTGACCTCCAGTAATGCTTTAATTGATTACATTCCCAGAACATGTGAATTAGGCTACCTGTCTCTGTAGTACATCTATAGGGCAAAGATCTGAAATTGATTGATTTATGAAGTATTTCTGGTGTAAAGTAGGTTCTGTGAATAATGTTAAACTTCAAAGGTTTATGTCGGCTGTTGTATGAGAAAGTTAGGGCCTCCTCACATAATGAGTCCCATTTTAAGTCTCCAAAGGTACAACTCAGGTCTTGCTCAAGATTACCCAAGAGGTAATTTGATGAAGTGCAGTTTCTGGCAATTCCACATTCATTACTCAGCCCATGGAGGTTATATGGCTTGTGCTTAACCTCCTGCAGGACATGCTAAAAACATGGGTCTCTACAAGCTTCTCTCTGCTGCATGTCACAGAGAATTCTGAATTCAAAACATATTTAGCATTTCGGAAGCGCTATATTCTTATGAGTTCTGTAATTAATCAAAGCATTATATGATTATAAAAAAATTGCTTTATGTAGTGAAAAGTTGCAATGTGTAGTTGCTGAAAGGTAACATCCATTGGTACCGATATCAGTAGCCTGCATATTAGACGTTCAGGGAACAGCATCTAAATGTCTACAATAAGAGAAGGAACATTCATGTAGAGAAGGCCTAAGTCTTCTGTAGCCTAGATTAATCAGAAATATTGATAATAAAGTTGACTTTGACCGGCTGTCCCTGTGAATATATAAATAATGGATCTAAAAAGGGAGCATTGCCATTTTTTTTTCAGGGGGGTCAAAATAGAATCAAACATGTTATTCACAGCGGCATGAAATAGTTGCAAGTGTCAACTGGTTTAAAGGAATGCTTTACTTCCAGATTGAACTTTTGTATATCAATGAATCACTCTGTGTAATATCCCATGTAATCCTTTCTTTCATGCGGTGAATTATTCTTAAATGAATTTAGCCTAGTTTTGCTTCTGTAAAACACATCCACCGTTTACTTAACTCAATAAAATGTTTTCATCTTTTTGGGATATTTCCTCACTGTGTCGAGGCATAACACATCTAAAGAATTAATGATAATTTTGGGTGTAAAAGTACCCATTTCTTAGATATTATATTGCTATCTATGTATCTCCATTAGGAATGTTATTTCCGATGTAAATAAAGTAATGGCTTCAATCAGGGCCTAAAGTGACATAAAGCCCTGTAATGTTATATATTGCTTTCTCAATATGTTCAATATCTTTAGCAAAATTCATTTAAATAATTGGCTTGTGCGCCCCTGCGCTGTTCGCCTGCTATACGGCCATCCCGCTGTCAGTCACCCGACGTCTTCGCATAGCGTCTTCAGCGTCAGGCGGCTCTTTTGTCATTGGTCCTTTTTGTTGTCTGTCAAACGCGCACTACCTTGGGATTGGCTCTCCCACGGAGCTGTGTTCCTTTTGGCTGTACCTGTCTCTCTGTGAGAGGCTGAGAGCGCTTCCTGTTTCACGCGAAGCTCCCGCCTCTTCATTCAGCTCCAAGGAAGAAAGGAGGAACTGCCCCAACCGCATGTGACACTTCCAGTATGCCGCAAAACCTTGCTGCTATGTGACTCCTTGGTATTATTTAGCTGCTTCTGGACTTGGTAGGAAGTAATGTTAGAAAGTTTGTAATTACACACGGTGTTTTGGGGGGTGCAGGGTGCAGGGTGCTTTCGGAAAGGTGCCAGTGGGTTCGGAAGTGGAGCGTGGCAGCGAAAAGGGAAAAGGTTTTTTTCTTTGCTGTTTGATACCAGATAGCTTGACACGACAGGGCTGACGTAGAATATGGCGGAGCATCACCTGGTTTCCGACAACAAACACAAATCCTCACTGAACTCCGGAGCGTCGTACTCGGGGAACGGGAGCAGCAACACGGCGGTGGCGGAGAGAGATTGCAGCGCCGCGGCGGCGGGAGGAGGAGGTCTGTCCGGCGGCCTGTCGCAGCCGGCGGGGTGGCAGTCCCTGCTGTCTTTCACCATCCTGTTCCTGGCCGGGGTGGCCGGGTTCAGCGCCAGGCTCTTCGCTGTCATCCGCTTCGAAAGCATCATCCACGAGTTTGACCCCTGGTGAGTTAATCTTCCCACACACCAAGCATATTCAAATTAATGTTTTAAGATGGGCTGCTAAATATATTTTTAAAATATGTCCTTGCTCTTTGGGTTTGGCTAACAATCACTCAAAAACGCGTACACATTTGAGCAAATGGTTATAACAATAGATGAACTTACTAACCGTGTTAATTTATTAGAGTTAAGCCACCAGGAGCACCAACAGCTTTCAAAAACACGTATTGGCCTTTTTCTCTCTTTCCTGACCATAATGCTTATTTTACACACCAAAACATTTGGGCTTCACTTTACAGTACCAAGTGAAGCCTGCTAAGACTATCTAATATATTGTAGTTCATTATAAGTGCGACGTTGTAACGGCCAGTGAGGAGTAGGTGGTGTCACACTAGAGTAAACGAGCGGTGACAGCTTCACATTACGCGGTTTGAAGGCGGAAATAAAATCCTCTACCAAGAATTTCTCCCTTGATCAACCAAAGATCACCTCTGCTCTCAAGGTTCAAGGTTCTTTATTGTCAATCTGACATAGCTACAGAGTAATTATGCAGTTGAAAATCTTATGTCACAGGCTTCTCCAACAGTGCTGATCTGTTGCCTTGCCGCTACACTAGCACTGATTTCAGTGTGCCACACACAGGTGACTTAAAGTGATCATATTGTACCTTTATGCTGCACATTATTCCTGCAGGTTGTAGTATGACTTTTGCTCAGAATATTGCTAAAGGTGATTTAAAAACTTTTGTTGTACTTACTTTGCAATGTGCTCCTTGTTCTGCATGACAGTATTCAGATTTATAAGGACTTTTAAATAGTCGTCCCAGAACAATTCTGGTAATAGTTCAAGTGCAAAAAGGATTTCCTCACACTGGCCATTTCTCAATGTCGAGTATACCTGCTGCAGAGCCACTATTTCAAGTATACTACGTCATCGAGTGGCGCCGAAGGACTGTTTAAATGCATGTTAAATGCCCAGCATTCGGCGCCACTCGATGACGTAGTATACTTGAAATAGTGACTCTGCAGCAGGTATACTCGACATTGAGAAACGGCCACTGTCTCGGCTGACAGTTGGGCCTTTGCCACAGCGACAGTGACATTAGCTGACTTTGCTGCAAGATAAGGTCTAAGGAGGCCTTTAAAACAATTACATTTGGTACTATTCCCCTCAAACATGATGCTTATGCACATGCATGTCTAGGCTTATCCAAGAGAAAGTGAAGCACCTCAGTTGTAACAAACAAACCAGTGCTTTTCCTAACCAGAGCAGATTTAGTTAGTGCACTTTTGTTTGTGTTTGATTCCAAAATCTCGCGTGAGTTCTGACAAATATTGTCCAATCTCCTTATTTGTACTCCAAGGGACTGTTGCCTGGCCCGAGCCTGCATTGCATCACTGGAAGCATTTCATGATTATTCTGAGACCAGCAATGGGGATTAAACTGTCAGCTTCATGTCTGTCTGCTGAATAAAAGAGGAGTCTTGAAAGCTTTGGCTTGGGAGAATCCTTCAGTTTTTGTGTGTCACTGTCTGGACGCCTAACATGGCATGGAGTGAAATGTATTCACACACTGCTTCATTGTTCCATCATTCTCCTTTTGCTCTCAGACTGGCAACATTTAGTACATTAGACATTTGGATGGTGTGTTTCCCCTGCAGGACATCTGATTATACATTACACTTTATGTTCAAGTTCAAGCAATAGTTTTTGCACATCATGACTGTATCAGTTTCAAAAATAGTGATGACAATGTTTTAGGCTGTATTGCTTCATATTTTGAAGAGGATCCCTAATGTAGTAGTAGTAGTAGTAGTAGTAGTAGTAGTAGTAGTAGTAGTAGACAACAGGTAAGATTGCATGCTGGGGGATAACCTTCAAGCTGAAGCTTGCAGGATTGGGACATTTCACAATTTGTGTGTACTTCTGATCACTTTCCTGAAAGAAATGTTCCCAAACTCAAACAAAACTTTAAATCAACATTTTATAAATGTTTTGCTGCTCATCTAAATTCCATGTTGAAGCTGCATGTTTTGAACAATTGACTTACTGCCAAACAATTTGTTCTGCCTTGTAAAGAAACCAAGAAAACCAACCTGAACCTTGCAGTGGTCTTTAGCCATGCTGCTCGTGACTCTAAGAAGGCTTACATGTTTGTCTCTGGGCCCTACTGAACTATTAGGAAATGTATTTACTGACTGTTTAAACTTATTTGTGCTTAAACAATTCAATCCTTTCACTGTTGTGAGTCAGTTAGATTTCTTGTTTTCGGTTTAATTCTCAGATGTAGGTGACAGTCAAACACAGTGTAAACCAAACATATGTTCCAGGTCAGCTGTGCAATGCAAGGTTATGTCTGGATTTTGGCTGATGATTCATGAGAGTCCTGCTGCCCCCATTAGGAGCCTTCAGTAGTGCACTCTGCTCGGTCAAAGGTGTCACGACAGTTTGTGCCTCTTGCCTGTTGTGTTAACAGATAGATGTGGTCCACTGAAACCTAATACTAACGTGACATGTCAGATAACACACTTCCTGGCTGCAACCCTTGTGCAGTTTGGACTTTACTTGGTGCTTGTATTTGTTACTGCCAGACTGATGCCATGTTTCCAATTGCTTGCCATTATGGTGTTTTTCTTTTTGTCTGACAAACATTGACATAAGATAAGAGAACCTCTGTATAACATAATTCAGGCATTTCCAACGGACATGCGATATTCTTTCCTTTTTATGAAGCTTTTAAAACATTTCTGTTGAACTACGGCTGGGCTTGCTGTTGTATTCCTGCAGAGAAATGGGGCGGCTGTGGCTCAGGAGGTAGATGGTTGTCCTCCAATGGGAAGGTTTGGGTTCAATCCCTAGCAAGATACACATGGCCATGGTGTGTAAATGTCAGTTATGAATGTTTCCCTGAGCAGGTGGCGGCTGCCTTATGAATGAATGTGTGTACATTTCTTCTGTAAATGCCAAAGTGCTTTTAGGGGACTGGGAAAGCACTCTATAAATGCAGTCAATTGAATTACCATCAGTAATATGATGCCTACCACAGAGTTGAACCCATTATCGTCATGACTGCTACGACTCACGGAGCGTCCACACAGCAGCGTTAAAAAAATCTTGGAGGTGGGCGTATCTGAAGCTAGGGGATTTTTTGCGAGCAAGGCACCAACAACCAATCACATGAATCTCCCGCCCCCGACATACGAAGCAAAACAGTTTGAAGTAAACTGGATATAAACTCCCCAAACAGGCGAAAACCTACCACTGTCTCTGCCACCTCCCTCCATGCCTGGCTCCTCCGGTTTATATCCCGGTAGGTAAATAGGGACTGGTCATAAAGCACCGGGTGATTCCCTACCGCTCATTTCTCCTCCATTTTTTGGAATATGAGGAAATGACCTGCGGTATGTCTCTCCCAGCATAAACAGGATTTGATTGGCTAGCGCTTGAACTGTCAGATTTGCGTACACGGGATTTGATTGGCTGACGCTTCCACCTCAGCCTCAAAAGTTGAACATTGCTCAACTTTGAATCCTGAAAATCCTGAAAATCTCCGCTCTGCTGCCCACAATGCAGTTCGGCGAAAAGTGAGGGAAAGTGACGTCACCCCATTCAAAGTGAATGGGCAGAAGCATTTCAAGATTTTTTTAACGCTGCTGTGTGGACGGTCCGTTACAGTAATTCTTGCCCTCAGCCTCATTGTTTATTATACATATTATGATATAATGATATCAAATGTGTGTAGGTAAATCTGAACAAACAAACACTGCTGAGATGCCTGTCTGCTCTCGGATGTGCTGCCCTATCACCATCATGTTAAACCCCTGCTAGTGTCACTCAGCTTATAGTACATTTTGCAACAGCAGTTAGGGATATCCTGTTGGATTGAATTGCACTAAATGGAATGATGTCTTTGTATCAGTTTTCCACTTCCAATATAATTCAATCCAATTTACCACTGCACATATTTGCTTCATTTATCTCAACATCAAGTCAACTCTTCTCTGACACTTGCAGGCTATAGATTACATTTATTATGCCTGATCATAATCTTCTCTTAAATGGTTATACTCCCTGTTCAAGAGGCACTACATTTTGTATAATGCATATTGATAGGAACGCTTGTTAATTCATATAGAAATAGAACTCTCTGTTTTAAGAACAGCAACTGATGTTAGTGTAGTGCGTCAGGTTGGATAAAGGAAAGCCTCCTTATAAATGCATTGGCAGGCTGCTGTAAGTGTTGCCATGGTTAGTATTGTTTAAGTTGTTGACATTAAGTTATATCAGCCAGCTGGCCTTCTGAAGTCTCAAACCTTGATCAGAGGCCATGGAGTAAAACGATGTAACCTCCACATCAGATACTAACTCCCTAGACTACACTTTCAGTGTATGACACCTTGATTCACATAGAAAAGAATTCTCCAACCTCCCATTTACACTATGAAAAGAAATAGGAAAAGTGTAATCACTAGCTTGCTTGAGTGAATGCACCACAAGTCCTACAGTGGTTAACCCCAGTGCCTGGAGACCATGTGCCTGTGGACTGGAGATCAGGAAGATGAACCAACGATTGAGGAACATTTATTTATTTGCTTCAAGTCAACTTCATTGTCTGCAATGCTATGGGAAAAAAGTCTCATAGGTGCCCCTCACCAGCTACTGCTAACATGCACAAGCATTTGTCTTGCAGTTGGTGTCTATTCAATGTCTTTGTCTGGCACAAGAATGGCTAGTTAGCTATTACTGGTGAGATACATGAAAACTCTTCCCAATGTTTTTTGAGCTGGATCCTAAGGATGACACAAAATGTAGTTTTCTCTAAGACCCAGACTAGAAACCGTTTACGAGCCTATTATCCAGAGATGTAAGTGTGGGCTGTGAGTGTTTCTTCTGACCACTTACAATTAAGATACAGCAGGCTTCCTAGGACTGAGGAAAATAAAAGGTATTCTGTCAATACAGACAGGAATCGGAGCTCCCAATGGATTGTGGGTTGTGTATGTGTGCAGGCACTTTTTCTCCCCCCCCTTTTTTCAATAATGTACCTTAGCCTCAAGAGGGAGCATGAACAGCCAGCACTTCTCTTCTCGATCTAGCACTCACTCCTAAGCAAGCCATATGCTGCAATCCCTACATTATATTTCAGCTTTTCACGAGGAGACTATTGAGCTCTTTAATACTTAATAAAAGCTCAGGGGACAACACACTAACTGCTGTGTACCAGCAGAGTCTCCGTCGGAAGGCTAGAGGCAGCACTTGATCTACCAGGCCTGTATAATCGTAGACAAGTCTGTGGTGGGGTTGTTTCTCTTAAAGTCTTGTTGGCTGTTAGCTTAAGAAATGGAAGGCAAACAGAAGGCTGAGGAAGGAACGTTTTATACCTGCTAAATTTTTCCTTTTTGAATGTCTCTAATGTGCCAATAAACAGGAATTGTGTTTTTTCAGCTGAGTCCTTGTCCTAATGTAGACCTGCCTTGACATTAACCAACTTCAATGAAAATTCCTAAATACATAAATGCATTTATTGATCTCCCGTCACCATGCCATAGGTCGACTGTAAAGATTGTGTTTCAGTTTCTAACTTTAGGGCTGAGGGCATGCTAATATACTAACTTGAACTGGTGTGCTGCATTTTGTTAACTAAATAATGCAGTCATTTTCAGAGATCAAGGAACATTGCCTTATTGCCTTGTGTATCTCAACAATGTCAGATAACTTGTAAGTGCTGCACAACAAAACGATTCCAACATGAGCTTACTTCCTTCAATCTGACACTGAAGTCCTCTGAGCTGCTCTCTGTGGTTTCACAGGTTTGCCCTCTCTGACAGCCCCCCCCATCTCTCTGTGTTCAAATGTTTCAGGTTCAACTACAGGGCTACTCACCATCTCACTACCAATGGCTTCTATGAGTTCCTCAACTGGTTTGACGAAAGAGCCTGGTACCCTCTGGGTAGGATAGTAGGAGGCACGGTGAGGGTTCATTTTTTTAATTCAGAAATGTGTAAATGAAATCTGCTCTGTTGATTTATTATTTTGGACCAGGTCAAATCTTTGGTTAAACTTGACTTTATTTGGTTTCTGAGAGAAATACTGTAAATAAGTCCCAGTCTTATTTCGATGCAGAGATTTGAACATGATCAGGAGTCTAGCAAAAACATGGAAGTGAAAGCAGTGCTGTGTTTTTAAATGCATGATTGAAATACATATATTTTGTGTCTAAAATCTGTTTAATCATTTTTGCCATAATTGTGCAGCCCTATGTGGGAGATGGGCTGCTCTTCAGACTTTAATAATAACATCTGACGGAATAATTACTGCAAAGTCACCTTTGTGTCTCTGCTCCTTCCCCAGGTGTACCCAGGCCTGATGGTCACGGCGGGCCTCGTCCATTATATTCTCAACCTGCTGCACATCACCGTCCACATCCGGGATGTTTGTGTGTTCCTGGCTCCGGTGTTCAGCAGCCTGACCTCCATCTCCACCTTCCTGCTCACCAAGGAGATTTGGAACCAGGGGGCAGGGCTGCTGGCAGCCTGCTTCATCGCCATCGTCCCCGGCTACATTTCCCGCTCTGTGGCTGGCTCCTTTGACAATGAAGGCATCGCTATCTTTGCCCTGCAGTTCACCTACTACCTCTGGGTACGCCCATACATACTTTATTAGTGTTTAGTCCTGACTCTCCTGAATGCAGCTATTTATAACAGTTGCCATTGCTGCTTGAGGTGGCTGCTCTTTGTTAATAGCTGGGTAATACACTTGAATAGTCAAGCTGCATGGGCTGCCATGTAGCTCATCTGGTAAAACTTGCGGGGAACCCGGGTTCCAATCCAGCCTGGGACCATTTGCCGCCTTTCATCCCTTCTGTCTCCCAATTTCAACACTGTCACTTCAGTGGAGGCACTGGTGACCGAGGCACTGGTGGCCTGATAACACATCTCTGAACTACAATGACTTAACAACTTGTTGTGTGTTGGTTGCTGCTCATCAGGTGAAGTCGGTGAAGACGGGATCTGTTTTCTGGACTATCGGATGCTGCCTCTCCTATTTTTACATGGTGAGAACACATACCCAAACTCATTTATCATTACACTATAAGCTGTGACACCTTCTCTCTTGCAGCTGCTTATCCACCAAGAATTATGTTACACTTATAGAGAACAAGCTAAAAGCACAAGCTTGAAAATATGTGCATGTGTGTGTCTGTTTTTCTGTGTGTTCGTGTGCCTTTGGAGGGTTTTTGAACCAGCAGCATAATAGTAGTCTTAACGCTGTAGCAGAGGTGGCGTTAGACTTTTTCGAACAGGATCGTAACATTTCCGTCATAATCCATTATTACCCGTCGGGTCTGAACCCGCCACTAACGTGTCGCGCTGACACTGCACTGGTGGGGGGGGGGGCTTTTATGCATGCCCATTGCCCACCGAGATATGCATGCACCTCGCGGGAGCGCGCACAGTGTAAAGCAAAATCTCCCAGACATTTCAATGATCTGTACGGCAAAGTTAGGTTTGGAAACGGTATCATTTCCTTTTTGGGGGGCATGCATAACACGGCATAACACCGGAGCCTCACTGCGGGGGAACTTTGGCGCTGTTCCGAGTTTGTTCTAATCTGTCAAAATGACAGATTGCTTTCAGATTTTTCCGTCATTGTTAAAAAAATCCGTCATAGACGGAAACATTCGGTTAACGCGACGACTGCGCTGTAGTCATAATATATTAGTCGTAATAATTTCGCAGCTCTCAGGTGGGCTGTGCAGCTTTGCCCCCTCCCTCTTGGTTTTACATCTCCCATTATGAAAGAGAGTCATATAATCACAGCCACCTTTCATTTGGCAGCCTACAGGGGCTCGTCACACTGATTCTGATATTCTGATTCTGATGCAGAAGCATGGCACATATTTAGCAGAGATCTAAATGGCAACTGTGTATGTTCATTGTGTGTGTATCCATAAACCAAATGGTTACACTTCTTATTTCTATTTTGAGAACTGCTGCGAAAGCTCTAAATGAATGAGAAAATACTCTGCTTGTTTCACAGGTGTCTGCTTGGGGTGGATACGTGTTCATCATCAACTTGATTCCACTTCATGTATTTGTCCTGCTGCTCATGCAGCGCTACAGTAGGAGAGTCTACATAGGTGAGACACACACACACACACACACACACACACACACACACACACACACACACACAGGTTTCTTTTGACATTCAAAGTCATGAACGTACACACATTGATTTGGAGGTAACAGAGTAGCTGTTACTGATAATGAATAGCATCCAGTAGCAGCTGATGTTGTGTTTATAATGAGACAGACATCAGGCTTACACAAGTCCCACAGAGGAGAAGAGACATGTGATGAAAGTACTTTAAGATATATAGAAAGTGGAAAAGCATGCAGGGAAAGAAAATCAAAGCCGTCTCACTTTCAAAGACTTTGCCTTTCTGATCTTGAATCGATTCCTGATCTTGAATCGATTCCTGATCTTGAATCGATTCCTGATCTAAGGCTCCAAGGTCCGTAATGATGCTGTAACACATTACCATTGTTTCACATCCAGATCAATAACCAACACATACTATACCAGATCATTATCCTGTGGTAATAATGACATATCAAGGTGCGGAAAGTACATCAACAGGCTAGGTTCTCTTTAGCTTTCTGATGAAGCACAAATACTGTAATGATATCCAAGTGGAATATCTTTAAATGATCGTCTGAAAAGCTGAAGAGACACGCAAATAGACTTAGACGATTATAATAATCTCTGGTTTGGAGACTCATTTGTTGCTGTACCCTAGCAAGCAGGGACTGATCCAATCAAGCGCAGCACTCAAATGAAATACATTTTTACATTTTACACTACAATTATAATAGTTGTAAAAAAAGTATTTTCCATGTTTTGTCTACTTATATATTTTTTAATTTATATAAATATGCCTAACAATAAAGAAGGTTCAATAGATCAAAAACATTCACTGGGGGCTCTGTCTGGGAATGACCCTAGCCATTGAGACAAAGGGTGACTCGCCCCACTAATGTGTATTTGTGACAGGCGTTGCATAATTGAATATCATTCTGTTATTGTGGAGAAATGTTATGGGTATAAATCCAATGCATGTGATCACTTGTCAGTAAGTACATAGTAGCTTGTCTTATACTGTTCTTAACCATTTGTTTCTCCCACCAGCCTACAGCACCTTCTACATCATCGGCCTGGTGTTGTCCATGCAGATCCCTTTTGTGGGCTTTCAGCCAATCAGGACCAGTGAACACATGGCCGCCGCAGGTCAGTAACCAGCAACCTGTCAAAAGTTCCAGTCATTTGTTTATTGCAGTGCAAAAACATGGGTTCTCATTTTTCAAGTCTATCTTAATACAGTACTCGTATGCCCATATATTCAGTCCTCAGAAAGTGTGATTGTTTGCTGTGATAGTCATTGTGGACACTGTTCATAGATGCAGGAGGTCTTTCCATACCATGAAGACTACATCCTCTTACCCACTTGACTTGAATAACTCAGACTGCCAAAGCCTTTAGCTGATTAGCTTCAGCTGAACTTCAGAACTGATTGATGACACAGAACAAGGACAGTGGTTTATGCCTCTCCATTTCATTACATCAAAACAGAATTAGGAAGGGGTCTCCTATCCATACTGTCCACAATTACAGCAACCAACAACACTTTTGATGTGTGCGTGTCATTATGGTTTTAAGATAAACAGGGGGTATATATGTATTATTTTCCAATCTGGGTCATAAAGATATTTTCTACAAAACTAAGTGTGTCTCTGCAGGAGTGTTCGTGCTGCTGCAGGTCTACGCCTTCCTGCAGTACCTGAAGGACAGACTCACCAAGCAGGAGTTCCAGACTATGTTCTTCCTGGGAGTCTCTCTGGCTGCTGGAGTGGTTTTTTTCTGCGTCATTTACCTGACATACACAGGTTGGTTCATATTGTCTTCTTCTGAGTAGCTCTTGCATACATTTTCTGCACAGGGAAAAAAACGTGCCCAACCCATCTCCCTCCATACATGAATGTATCCATATATGTGTTTGTGCATGTGTTTTCAAAAATGAACAATAGAAAGGCAATATTTAATTTCCCTTTGTGCAACCAATTAAAAGAATGCTTTCTGTCTTCTTTTACTCCAAGTAACTGCACTTTGGTACCTATAAGCAACCTTTTTCTCTGCCAAAGAATAAGAAACCCCTGAGTCTCAGTCTGAGGGGGCTTTCACAACTGTAGCAGTTAATTTAGTCCATACCATGGGAAAATAGATGTGTTTTAGTCCTGGTCTGGTTTGTATTCACACACAAACAAACCACGAGTAGTAAACAAAAAGTCATACAGACTGACAGGTTTCTCTGACAGTTCTAGTAATTATCATCCTGCATCATCTCATCAGTGCATTATCAGGACATCTGATGTGTATTTATGTTCTATGGTTTCACAAAAGCTCACTATGAAATAGGCCTAACAAATGATTTCGTCATTATTGGACATCTTGTGAAAATAATGACTAACAGGATGCTACTTGGCCATTAGCCTGTAAGTAAGTATTGAGGTCTAATTAGTGTGGGATCGCTGTCACACACTCTTTAATACAGATGACCTGTACAATAGAATTGAAATACTACATGTGAAGCAATAGCTTGTTAGGATTCAAATCAGCCATCCATGATCTGCAGTATGTGTGCTAGGACCACCTGCTGGTTTTATAACTACAAGAGATGCAGGTCAGAGAGCTCATTACAGCTGATCAGGTCTGCAGCACTGCAGTACAGGCACATGAGAGAATGATTATATGATGGGTACATCAACCAATCACCAGTCCACTGATGCCTGATGGAATACACAGATCACAGAGCGTGCAAACAACCTGTGTTCAGGTTGGTGTGTGTTGTGTCTGTCTGTGTTTAAATTAACTTGTAAGTATATTCTTACTGAACTCATATGGTGTGTGTGTGTGTGTTTCACCCTCAGGTTACATTGCTCCATGGAGTGGGCGCTTCTACTCCCTGTGGGATACTGGGTAAGGCCTCACAGTTGTTATACTTTTGCACTGGGGTACCTTACAGTAGTACTGTTAATAATTAGATTTTAATAATGTGCAGTAGCACATATACCAATACATCTTTTAAACTGTTCGAAACAAAGTGGCATGGTGGATGTCCATTTTGTAAAGATGTACACCCGCATGTTTACTTGCTGATGGAAGTCTTAATGTTTTGTTAAGTAATAAACACATGCTCAGAATAATTATTTTATTCTCATGCGCAAGTGAAAGAAATACAAATAATGAATTCATTATCCTTCCAATTTTTTAATCAACAATGTTTCAGCCAGATCCTAAAGATATCATTTGCATACAAAGATGATCACACTTTGTGTAGCTGCCAAAATGTTTTGATGGTCAAACATGCAGTCTCTCCGGAATCCGGAACAGATAATGCTCCCTTTCTCTCCTCTTTCAGGAAACTGTGAGACTGCAGCATCCGTTTTCAAACCCTAAAACCCTCCCTCAGTGTATGTGACCATATGTGACCATATCGTTGTGTGTTGATGCACACACCTTAATATTTCTTTCTAAAAGGATATCAAGTTTTGCTGCTGTGCAGTAAAAGTAACGAGGTCAGCAACAGACCCAAGATAACTGACATCAGCCAAACCTGAATAAAATCTCAGAGCTTCACTATTAATAAGGTTGTCAAGTAGGAATGAAAAAGGAATACAATGAAATATTCTGCCTTTTTACCTTAACCCTCCTGTTGTCTTCAGGTCAAATCTGACCGATTTACTACTTTCATCAATCATAACTGTGTGTCCCCCCCCCACATATGTGCCCAATCCCCCTATGTGAATCACACCTGGCACACACACACACACACACACACAGAACAATTAGAAACATTTCCCGCTCTTATGTGCCCATCCCCCCACATGGATCACACCTGGCCCACGCAATACATGTTCAGTGTCTATTCTTTGTATATGTACTGCAGTTTTTCATGTATACCAGTAGTCTGATACAATATATACAGTTTGAAAGGGTGTTAAATGAAATTTGGTGATGATTAATGGTTTTTGTGTTTATGTAATAGCAGTTAAAACAGGACCGGTCAAATTTTGACCGCGAACACCAAAGTAAGGGGGGGGGGGGAACGAAGACAATAGGAGGCTTAAAGGGAAATGATAAAGACCACTGTTTGTTGTTCCTTTGCCTAGGCATGCTTTTCCTGTGTTGTCTGACTGCTCTTCCATGTTCTCCACAGCTATGCCAAGATCCACATTCCCATCATAGCATCAGTATCCGAGCATCAGCCCACCACCTGGGTGTCCTTCTTCTTTGACCTTCACATCCTCGTCTGCACCTTCCCAGCAGGCCTCTGGTTCTGCATTAAGAACATCAATGATGAACGTGTTTTTGGTGAGAGCATATCATGGAAAAAGTCACTTGCAAACCATGTTTGATATAAAATACACAAAAACAAATCTCGAGGTCCATCTTAAAGTGTTTCCAGTGTTTCAAGTGAAATCCCTGCTCTTTCTCACCAGATGCAAATAATGAAATGGAGGGGAGATGAAATAACCCCATCTCTCTTATGTCAAATTACATTATTAACTCTTGTTAATGCTTGAGCATCCCACAATCTCAAAAAGGTCAGCTGATGGTTGTTGAGATCAGAAAGAAGAAAAACAATACAGACAAATGATGTATTTATTTATGAAATGATTTGAAACCAATGGGCCATGGGTCCATGCCCTGATAGTGTGTGAACTCTTGAGATTTATTTTAACTTCTGCTAAAAAAGGAATGAGTAACAGTAATCAAGAGAAGTAAACATTTTAACTTCCTATATGTCAGATTATTGAACTTGGTTGACTTCCTGTTTTATAAAATATGACTTAATACTCCAGAAAGTTCGATTGTTCTATCTTTGTATTTGGGTTATTAAAATATCTGCTAGTCTGTTACTTCATTAGAATTGAATAACACTTGATATAGTGATAAAACCTGGCATTGGAAGTCCAGACGTCATTAAGTCAATATCAATGACAGATGTGACATGTGCTAAGAAAGGATGTCCTGTCAGTGAGCATGTGGAAAGTATGATCAGCCAGTGGAAAGGGCTCAGAGGCAGTGTACCTGCAATATGACTCTACGGCACTAAATGAAAGTAAATTGAATAATGAAGTTATGTTTCAAATGAAATCTAATTCCCAGAGCTTGAATGGTACGGTCCAGGTCAGCTGGAACCTCATTATCTGTCTCTCTGCTCTCCGTCCACCAGTGGCCCTGTATGCCATCAGTGCTGTTTACTTTGCTGGCGTGATGGTGCGTTTGATGCTCACGCTGACTCCGGTGGTGTGTATGCTGTCGGCGGTGGCTTTCTCCAGCGTCTTCGAACACTACCTGGGAGACGACATGAAGAGGCAGAGCCCTCCAGTAGAGGACAGCAGCGACGAGGACGACAGGAAGAACGCTGGAAACCTCTACGACAAGGTGAGCGACCATTGCAAAGTGTGTGGGATGTCATGTTTGATTAAACTTGGTTGACCAAAATACACAAAAGCATTACTTTATGACATATGTGTTCCATTCCCCATACAAAAGAGCGATGTCCGCAACTCATACTTAACTTATTTGAAGCTCCACTTATCCTTTTTTTCATATGAATCAGAAGACAATGTGTACTGTGAAAGGTGACAGACTCACAGAAAATGATCACCCTCAGCTGCAGTTGAACTCAGCTTTATTAAGAGTTTCAGAACCTGTCAGCTCCTGATTTGGGTTTGACTGCCCACAGCTTCACTGCTGTGGTTACATCCCCCTGCTACATCCCCCTGCTACATCCCCCTGCTACATCCCCCTGCTACATCAGCAGGGGGATGTAACCACAGCTTCACTGCTGTGGTTACATCCCCCTGCTACATCCCCCTGCTACATCCCCCTGCTACATCCCCCTGCTACATCCCCCTGCTACATCAGCAGGGGGATGTAACCACAGCTTCACTGCAGTGGTTACATCCCCCTGCTACATCAGCAGGTAGCTTATTTCAGAGTAGAACTGAACAGAGCTTTGATATACCCACTGTGCACTGCCTGCCCCACAAACAGCCATCAGGGTAGGTTAGTGGATTGAAATTAGCAGCTGAAGAGCAAGATATTTTTCCAAGGATGTGTAAATAGACAATTGTTGACATGTTTGTAACAACTTTTATAAAACCACTTTATAACATATTGGAAGTTGTAAATATTACAGTGACATATTACTGCTGTCAAGTTTATCGTGGTAATATTTAGCTTCCTTTGTTTATTTACAGTTATGTCTTCTATGATCAAATCATTCTTGTCAAACAAATAGGAAGTAACCAGACATGCTGTCCTATACCCATTAAAAAATGTATGCACGTCAATATCTGGTACACACTCTTCTTACAAAAGAGGCAAAGCACTACATAGTTCACTAAGCATTTTATTTGAGTAGAGCCATGGTTTGGATTATGAAACGCAAAGCTAGCCTCCTTTTGACATCTAACCAACAGGTAACAACATAACTAACTAAACAACTAAAATAAATGCAAGACATCCAAATGTCACTCCTACAAAAACTACATTTTCTATCCTGTTCAGACCTGTCTGAGCAGGACTTGTCATGTTGGTATTATCTGTTATACAATTTGTTAATTAATTGTGTTTTGGTATCTGCTTTAAAAAGTAAAATAAATCTGTATCATCACTATTTTACTTTTCCATCTTCAGGGAAAGTTGCACTGCAGTCTGGGTTATTGTTTCTGTCATTTTTCTCTGCAAATGAATACAGTGGGAATAATGAACTGCAGGTATCCTGAAAGGCGGTGTTTAAAGTAGACTCCACAAAACGGCCTGAGAATTCTCTTAATATGGACCATAATCATCTTCTGGTATATTATGGGCTCATTTGAACAGAGCTCCTGTCTTGTTAGAGTTCCAGTAAGCTTACACATGGTGTCCTGTTGGTGTCCTCTGCAGGCCGGTAAGGTGCGTAAACATGTGTCGGAGCAGGAGAAGGCTGAGGAGGGCCTGGGCCCCAACATCAAGTCCATCGTCACCATGCTGATGCTGATGCTGCTCATGATGTTCGCGGTCCACTGCACCTGGGTCACCAGCAACGCCTACTCCAGCCCCAGTGTAGTACTCGCATCATACAATAACGATGGGTGAGTCATACAACACAATGGGCTTTTCCCAACCATATACACACACGTTAAGACATCATGTACCTGCCTCCATTCTAACATGATTGAAATGCCACTTGCTTGAAACTTTACTATACAACAAAACAATGAATAAAGTATGTCTGATTTTCATTGCATTCTAGAATTCTGCCATCAAACTTTTTTAAACTGCTTTTCAAATATAAGTATAGCCCTACATTAGCATAAACTGTACAGTTGTATAAAGAAAGAAAATAACAAAACATTTGAGCAAAATGTTATCAGATCCAGCTTGTTACCAGCAATTACTCTATGAAGGTTTTTTAAATGAACTGATATGGACACTTGGGGTTGTCCAACAAGAAAAGCTGATGATGCTCAGAGAGAGGCTGTTAGTCAGGGTCCAACACATCCTTCTGCTGAAAGGCAGACATCTCAGAGATGGATGTCAGGGGAGCAACTTGCATAACACAGGCACTGCATGGACAGGAAGCGGTGAAGGACTGTGTGAAGGGCTTTAATGCTGTGGTTCTAAAGAGCTCATAGAACAATTGTTCCTTACAATAAAAGGAAAACTGATCTCTGATGTAATATTCACAGTAAATAATCTACTCGAAATACTTAATATCTCTTGTTTTACAAAACCTTTGTGCAGGTCCCGTAACATCCTCGATGACTTCAGAGAGGCGTACTACTGGCTGAGGCAGAACACAGACGAGCACGCCCGAGTGATGTCATGGTGGGACTACGGCTACCAGATAGCAGGCATGGCCAACAGAACCACGCTGGTGGACAACAACACCTGGAACAACAGTCACATAGCACTGGTGAGAGCTGCTCCGCCTGTGTGACCTCTGATCACACCGCAGTTACTGTGCTAACGCTGAAACTGCGTGCAAAGTTACAAACACATCAGAGTTGCTCTTTGCTGTCTCAGTTTTTATACGGAAGTGGCATGTCCCCTTCAGTTCTTCCAGCTTTCACAGCTCCGATAAGTTATTTGCTTCTGATGTACAGAATCAGTGAGATCCATGCCGAGGAAGATTTTTGTTCCTTTCAGTATTTGGCGATCTTGCTATTCAATTGTGTTGTGCTCTATAAACACTTTAATCAAAATCACATTAGATATATAAATCTAATCTATTACACACACGCACACACGGATACAAATACATATCACACTGCACACTCACAGACATTAGCTAACCTCTTTCCACGTTGAATTCTGCATGGATCTCTCTGTTGTACTGTAAGTTGCGTGCACATAGTGAGCCAGAGCAGCTTCCACTTCACATTGGGCGGCTGGGTGTTAAAATGAGTTAAGCCACAGAGCAAATTAGCTTAGCAGTGGCCGGCTAGCAAACCTGCTAAAAAGTGTCAAATATCTTGTTCTTTTTCAAAATTGATGCTATGAAATAGACAATTGCTGGCTGCCACAGTGTTGGTGGTTCACAGGAAACGGACCAGGTGGACATAATATATCCGTGCACTGCGAGCAGGTGAAGGGGAGATCTCAGGACTTTACATCTGTGCCACTGGTACTCCCTTGATTTAGACATTCATTGTTTTAAACCAAAAGAAAATGAAAAGATGCAGCAAATCCACATGTTCTGACTTTAAGGCACTAAAATAGGTCAAGTTTCAAGACACTTCACAATGACATCATCAGGGTTGTCTTCTCAGACCTGATAAAGCTTGGGCTCCTCCAAAGCCACTGCTCAACTGTTTCCAAACACTGAAAAGTACTAAACTGATCTTGGTGAAATCACTGCAGTGCCCCTTTTGAAATATTCACATGAGTTCTGTTGAATGGAAATTGAAATGTAAAATTGCTGTTCCTACAGGTGGGAAAAGCCATGTCATCTAATGAGACGGCAGCCTATGAAATCATGAGGTCACTGGATGTTGACTATGTCCTGATCATCTTCGGGGGGGTGATTGGCTACTCAGGGGACGACATCAACAAGTTCCTGTGGATGGTGCGCATCGCAGAGGGGGAGCACCCCAGGGACATCAGGGTGAGAAACATCACACCACCCGCTCAGAGTTTGAAGTGCTCTCTGAGGGAACAAACTGCTTAGGGAAATCAAGGATCTCTTGTGTGCCAAATAGTTTGGCTGCAAAATCAAAGGAAATCATGGATCAAAGTGTGTGAGTTGACTTTTCTCTTTCCATCTGTTTCTCTGTTTTGCCTCTGAACCCAGGAGAGTGACTACTTCACCCCCCAGGGAGAGTTCAGAGTGGACAAAGCTGGTTCCCCAACGCTGCTCAACTGCCTCATGTACAAAATGTCTTACTACCGATTTGGAGAAATGCAGGTTTGTCATCATTTATGATCTTTCTGCGCAACATGCTTCCCTATTCCACTAGGAACGTATCTACTGTTTTCTTGCACAAGTTGTGTTTCATTGCAAACACAGACTTTTACACTGAGCTTGGCTTAAAATAGTTTTTAAGTGGAAAATAGGATTAAATGGGATTCAGACATAAACAACCTCACTTGTCTTTTATTTCTGTTTTAGCTGGACTTCCGGACGCCGCCGGGCTTTGATCGAACTCGCAATGCTGAGATCGGAAACAAGGACATCACGCTGAAGCACCTGGAGGAAGCCTTCACCTCAGAGCACTGGCTGGTCAGGATTTATAAAGTGAAGAAGCTGGAGAACAGAGACCGTGTGGAACACCAGCTGAGAGGCACCGACACCAAGCAGAAATACACCTCCAAAAAGGTACCTCCTGATTCTATTCTTCATCTGGTGTTTAACTGTGCAATCCATCGTAACCTGTCATATTATTTCATTCACGTATTTAGGCATATTTAATAGCATTAAATGGCCATTCATTCACTTAATTTTCACAACAGTGGTTATACAGAACAGGCTTTTAGATGATGCATGAATAAGGGTGCGTGTGCTCACTTTTCATGTCAACACACACAAAGCAAATGAAATATTTGCTTTCCCTGCAGTGAAAGAAAGGGCCTCTAAAACAACAAGCACATATTAACACTGTATTTGTACAAAATGACACCAAACAAATGGGGTCAACGTGACCTCTGATGCGGTCTTACTTAAAGGGGACCTATCATGCAAAATGCACTTTTGTACGTCTTTTATACATGAATATGTGTCCCCGGTGTTCCAGGGAACTCACCAAGTGTCAGAAAACACAACCCTCTCTATTTTCCTCCTTACCCAAATCTCTAAAAAAGGGGCTGCAACGGATCTGATAAACTGATCCAGATTTGAACACTGTCCTGACGTCAGGACGGTGGCGCTACGGCTATTGGGCCAACTCCACCAATCAGGAGGAGACAGCCACGGCCATTGCCGTTCGAAAGCACTGGAGACGCTGTAGTACATATGCCAGGCCTGTAGATGGTGCTGTTCTCACTGAATCTGCCCTTGCAAAAAAAAGTGCAAATTGAGCGAAATGAGGCATGGCTAAAATGCATGATCTGTTTGGTATTTTGAAAAGAAAAAAGTATAAATATGCCTTATATAGGTATGGTCCTACACTATGCTATTATTCAAATATAGCATGATAGGTCCACTTTAAGATGTGATTAAAAAGGTTGATCTAGTTATGTGGAAAATGTATGTGTCATCTGAAGTGTCCAATCTCGGCTTGATTTGTCTTCTCTCTGCAGACATCCAAGAGGAAGAGGGGATACATCAAGAACAAGCTCTCCCTCAAGAAGGGCAAGAAACTGAGCAAGAAGTCTTTATAGAGAGCCCCCCACCAACAGAGGCACATTGTGGACGGCAGAGGAGGAACATCTGAAACCAAACTTTCAACAAAAACAAGCAGCAACAGTAAATCCACCAACAAGATGAATGAGGAACACCGTCACCCCAGGCTCCTGATGTTACCATCAGCTGAGAGAATGTGTTGACCCCCAGCTGACCTTTGACCTGATAAGTGGGGTCAAAGTGCAGAACATGGGAGATCCTACCCACACTGGTTTTAACCTGAGGAACCTTTAACTGGCTTTTCTTTTTGTACTTGAATGTGATGAAAGACAGAGAGCTGTTCTGCCACGTCCCCAATCCAGAGCTGAGTCCTGCTGATTTAAGGAGGAATGGAAGTGTGTTTTCTCTTGGAAATGGAGTATTCAAATGTTCATAGATATTCTATTTAATGCAAAGGAGAGAAACCCAAATGCACCACCCTGCTTCTTGAGTTTTGCCTTTCAGAGATTGAGTTTGTGCTCGGATGCTTTTGGAAAGTTGAGGTGGTGGAACATATACAACAGTATGTTTTTTATGCGTTTCATTCAAACCAATTATTAATAAGAGTATGCATGTACACATATGTGCCAACATGAAAAGGCCATTACTATTCATACGGCCTCGTCCTGCTGCGCTTCAGCGTTTCTATCAGGAAAAATAACATCCTTTATATGGCTCAAGCTCCAGATCCACTTGCTCCTACATTTCCCACAATTCAGGCTTGCTGCTTTTAAACTATTATTTGTTCAGTCTTTGGAAGCTCCCCCTAGCAACAGAAGACGTCATACAATATCTAACAGTCCAAAGCTCATGTTTCTTTCCCTTCAGACTTTTGTTAGTAATGCCCAGAGCTCAGCAATGAGCTAAATAATACAACATTACTTTAGATGATAGAAATTATTTCTAAAACTATGAATCCACTCAACCAGAAAAATCCTTTAAACTGTGTGTGATTGTTAAAGCTGTGTATGTTATTGTAATCTGTATCATTCACGCACTGTAGAAGCACACTGAGCTCAGGACAGAGCAGGCATATGAGACATCCATGGGTTTAACAGACCTTTTTAAGATGCTCTCTGGAAGGCCAGCCATGTACCCAGGTATACATTTGATTGGTTAATGATGATTAATCAAAGACTCAGTCAAATTAACACATCTCAATGTGTAGGCAGGGCACGTTACATCCTTCAATACTACAGCAATGGCATGTCCACAAGAGTGCATGAATGTTGAGATGCGTAGCCGTAAAGTGTGTGTGTGTGTGTTAGAATGGTGTTTTTAATGAGCACTGGCTGCAGGTTTGTAAGGTATATGAAGTAACTACATGTGAGTGTAAACGGATCATTTCAGTCTCTACCACTTTTTGTTGCTAGTAGAATATGCTAACAGGGGTTCATGTCCTGCCTGCCAGTGTGATCATTAAACACATTTAGAATGAAGCACTCAAATGTAAAACCGCTGGAAATCTATCGGTGCCTAGGAGCATTTCAAACACTATGAATGGAGAGCTCATGTCAATTCCTCGACCCATACTGTTGTCTGTAGGACTGTCAGTCTGTCACATTCCCTCCATGTCTCTGTCTTTGATCCACCACTCTTCACAGGCGCAGTATCCGCTTCAAACATGCTTCACTAACACTGAGCATTTCCTCATGAATCTGGAAAAACAGGCTCTAAAGTGCTCCGAGGTTTCCACACAACGGAGGGGCCATTCAGGCGGTGGAAACTCTTATTCTTTGTTATTGGCTGAATGTCCACGGTTTGATCTTTATTTCTGTCATGCAATCAGTCTTACCATTTCTCAGAATAATCAATGAATTTAGATTTGAGTGAGGTTTTTGCCCTATGATTTAATACTTGTTTCTTGAAGACATCACAAGAAGCAAATGACTCCTGCTTGAGCTGATTTTGATTCTGTTGTGGTGTTTTGTCACAAGAACACCATCTTCAATAAACCCAGGTGGAGAGGATCACATTGACCTGAACAGAAACAAATGTCTTATTCCCAGAGCTCGAGTCAGTGAGCTTATTTATTTCATGGACGCTGGAGTCAGATGACTGAAGCTGGGCAGCGTCCCGTCAGGAAATGCGAGGATTTGTTCAGCTTTGATTTTCTAAGTCAAGGTTTCTTCCTTCAATTGTAATGTAGATGCAGGTGTGAGAATGAAACATGCCTTTTCAAATAAAGAGGTTGAAATAACTCTTGCTAATATGTCTTAATTACTATGTGCACAATGCATGTTATACAGTATACTCGGGGTATATGCAGGAATCCTGAAGTCAAATGTAAGACCTTTTTTAAGACCCTTTCCATACATTTTAAGACCTCATCGCCACTTTGAGTTTTAACCGGTTACATTGGCGACACACTTTACCTCACAATATACACTATTCACTATATACAGTATTGATTGTCCTTCCTCCTTATCTTCCAACCATTTGGACGCAAACTTGCATTTCCCCATAACGATGTTGTTTAACAACCGGCGTAAACAGACCTTCGCGCGCTATCAAGCAGTGAGCGTCCTGTTCAGATGACGTCAAATCCAACGGGATGCCATAAATAAACTACACAGAATCACACTACACACCTACGCAATGATTACATTCAGGCACACTGTAGAATACAACCTCTTTGGACTATTGATATACTTATTGAAAACAAGCTACAAAATGTAATACCTTGGAAAATGCAGTTTAATACTTTTTAATAGCCTTCATTTTCGCTAAATTGATTTATCAACTTTTTAAGACCCCGCGGACACCCTGATACTAAACTGCATATCTCTCTCACATTTTTCATATTTACACTGGTAACTTTTCTTTCTACAGTAAACATTTAAAAAGGATGAAGGAGGCACATTGAAATGAAAAGCTAGTATCAATGTGAACCATTCCTCCATGTTAATGCTTCTTTAGCTCTCAGCCCATCCCTGCATGTGGCTTTCAGAACATTAACAATGCTGTCATCCAGTGGCGGTTCTAGACCAATTTGACTGGGGGGGGGGGCAGTTATTATTATTTTTTAAATGTTGAAGTTAAATGCATCAATCTGGTGCACTTTGAGCACAACATGAATACTGGCCGCCCCCTAGAACCGCCCCTGCTATCATCTTCTACTATTCTGCTCTTCGTTAAGTTAACACACCACTTTCACACACTGAAAACAATGAGCGTACAAAACAGGATGTTTTTATATTTCAAATGTTACAGCCACCATTTTCATAAAAATGCACACAATAAAACAAACACTTTAAAAAAACATACAATTGCATTGACAAGAATGCATGATTTGACTGTTTCAGCTCCTTTGTCGAAGCTAGAATATATTCAATACATAAATGTATGAAAAATTCTACAATGAATTATTTTCCATGTCTTAAACACTTGGACACACAAATACACAGCAGCTGAAAGATCATATGTAAAAGAAGCAGGTGTTTCACCGTCACACGACAAGCAGCTTGAAATGTTCCGACTCCAGTAGAAGGTGGAGATACTGGGACGAGGGGGGATGACCTGGTTTCAGGAGGTTCTTTTTAGGTGGAATAGATTTCTTTAAGAACAGGTTATCAAAAGTTTGTCAGTTTGCATTCAACCTCAACAATATGACAAAAATGTGTCAATTATTTATTCCAAATGTTCACTCTTGGGATTGACTATTGTTCCGTGTAAAATTAGCATGAAATCGAACTAATAATCAACCTCCTGGTTTTTGAAAGTGGTGTTGCTTGATTTCCATCTATCAGATTTGTTTGCATGAAACGGAAGCAGCTGTTCTGAGGAGCACCTTCAAACAGAAGCACAGCTTTAGCACCTACTGCTGATGTTCTCTTGCCAGATGTTTGATGAAAAATGACATACAACAACACTGGTGATATTCCATGTTTTAGCCCATGAAAAATAGCCTACATTTCTGTTAACCATTGTTTTTTTTAATGGGTGTCCATTCATTTCAGTATTCAAATAAACTTCCAAGGATTCAGAACTTTTAAAATGCCTTAATGGGCTTTAGATTTACAAATCACAGAAACCTGAAACTTGTTTAAGGTAGGTCAATAATCAAAAGGTGAACTCTACTTTGCAAAGTCTGTTAGCATTGTGTCGGCTGAATCAAGATGTTTATTCTGATGGAATTGTTATTTAAAGAAAACGGAATCTATTTCAAGTGTACTGAAATGAATAAAACTGTTGTCAGTAATATCAAGTATAGACTGTTTGTAGTCAGTGGGCTTAGACATGGAAACATACTAGCTCTGTCCTTCAAACAACTACACATGGACAGGCTGCACACTGTTGGGGAACTCCAGTGCAATTATCCCCTGTTCCAAATCATCAATATTATGAACAAGTCAACCATACACATTCAAATGTCACCTTGATGATTTCTGTCACATGGCTTTATGACACCTTTCATCAATAAAAGTTAGTTCTCCTCTTCCTCTTCATCCCCTCCAAATGATAGAAGGCTGTTATTTTTTACTTTCTTTCCAGACTTCACCTCTTTCTTCACTTCCTCCCCCTCCTCCTCTTCTTCTTCATCACTCTTCTTCTTCTTGCTGGAGCTGGCCTTGATGCCCTGGAATTTGTCTGAGGAGGAGCGCTTGGCTGGTTTCTTGAAGAGGATTTTACCATCAGGAGGAGCTGCATCATCTGTGGACAGGACGGATGTATACGATTCATCAAAACAGTCAGTGGTAGTGCTTTTTAATTTAGATCCCGGCTGATGCCTTGGCAAAATACAACACTTCGAGCCTATCGACAGAAATGTCAATAAAACATGGAACTGGACTGCATCATTCCGTTTCTGTTCAGAAACAACAAAGAAACCCTTGCTGGTGTTACCTTTCTCCCCTGCAGGACGCAGCTCGTCCTTGATCTTCTTCACGTCCTCTGCGCTCAGGTCCCCCCCCTTCAGAACCACCACCTGAGGGAGCTCGTCCTCCCGGTCACTGCCACTGTCATCATCCAGGACTGGCATGGTCTGCAACTGAGAGGAAGATAAAACACAGACATGTATCTAATGAGAGAAATGTTTCATTCATATCTTTCAAAGCGGTGTTCCGATGTTCGAATGAAAGTGAACGTGTATTGTTAAAATGAAAGACAATGATTCAATCAACAGACTGTCACTGAGACCCAATACAAACACAAATCTGGTAAAAAGAAAGCTATTGCTATTATTACACTAAAATGTGTTAGCGGTGTTCAGGCTTTGTGTTGCTAGCTTAAACGTAAATACAGGAATACAAACCCCCACATTATTTACATATTCACCTTAGTTTCAACACTCGGTCCTTCTTTATAACCAACATCCTTCTTAAACTTCTTCAGAAAGGACGGCTCCGCGGGTTTCACCCACGTCACGCCACTGGCCTTGCTTTTGTTCATTGCAAATGAGTTATACGATCTAAAGACAAAGATGTTTTGCAGGCCTAAATACACTACGGTTTCACCAAAATCCAGAGTACGTCTGCCGCTGCAAGTCACGTGCTCTCAGGAGCTACTGCAATTGGGCGACTTTTTCTTCTTCTACTTATTTCTCCGCAGACTAGCCACATTTGAGTGCACTGCTGCCTCCCACCGGAGTGACACGACGTGACACAGAAACAGGAAGTTGACTGTCAGTGGGCTGTCTCCTCTATAAAGCGTCTCTGATGCTGGCCATGGACTCCTGCCGCAGTCAGTCAGATATGATTTCAGGATCTTTTTACGCGGTATTTGCGGGCTTTTTGGGAGCCTCTGCCTCTCTGTCCGCCAAGCTGTCCCTCGGTGCCGAGCACCTGAGAGGGATGTGCGTGTCCGGGCTCAGCTGGACTCACATACCCGGAGAGACTGCAACCTGCGACTGGGTGAGGAGGACCGCTTCAACACAACTCTGGGTCTTTAATACTTTCCGGAAATGTTAGAAGAAATACATGCATATAACTCAAGGGTCATTTTCACTTAGTTTGGGACATTGTACTCATGTACTGTGTAGAATGCAGTGCTGCTGAGTCTAAACACATTTAGTTGTTCAGTGTTCTTTTCTACTTTTATTTTGTTGTTGTAACATCTTGTACAACATGCTTTGGCAATACTATGTTTTTGATATGGCCATATGCCAATAAAGTTCCTTTGAATTGTAAGAGTTTTTACTGCAGGTGTTAAATATTTAATAGTAGGAAAATCACAATCATCCATCAATCAATCACAAAATGTATTTATCACGGGAAAATTCGGTTTTGTGACAGTTGCTCCATTTAGAATGAAATAAATGAATGATATATTTGTAATATACATTTAAATACATAAGAAATGTGTTGTTAGAAGTTGTTGTGTAATTAAAAATAAATATAATTATACTTCATGAACTTAAGAAGACCTTTTCTTAACAGTAATGGTAAAAGTCACTTGTAACTATATGCTGCAACTCTATTTTCCTACTATTGATTTAGTCTGCTACATCAGAGAAAGCACATACAGATTTGGCCACAAACAGTTGCTCTCAAATAATGAGTGAGGCCACAATGGTGCATGGTACACACACACACACACACACACACACACACACACACACACACACACACAATGTAAAAATAATGCAAGTCTCTACACGGTTTAAAGCTATTAGGTGTAGAGCCTCTATGCTCTTAAATTGGCCCTGCTAGCATAACTAACTGTTGCTGAAATGAAAAGGAGCAAGAATAACCTGTAATGTTTAATTTGTAGCATGCAGTTCAATGAACACTCATCAGTGAAGTGACAAAGTAATGCCTTTTATGTGTTTAATAACTACTGGAACTATTGTGGGCTAATAGTGCAAGTGGTGCTGGAATTTCTAACAAAGTATGGTGACACTTAAAACTGTAAAGAACCAGATGTTAACCCAACTGAACAGAGAAGAGTTCTCCTCATCTCCTGTGTGTGTGCAGCTGCTGCTCCCTCTGCGGCTGCTGTGTGCCGGCCTGCTGTTCTCCTGTAACGCTGTCATGTGGGCCTTCTTCTCCAAGGCTCTCAGACACTGCTCCTCTTCAGCCAGGGCCACGGTCACCACCACTGCGTCCAACTTCATCTCCTCAGTTAGTATTACCCATGATGCATTTTCAAAAGCAATGATCATTTGAAAAGAAAATAACTTGGCAGCAAATGATTCTGAAGGTGTCCAGTCTCTTGTGTCTGTGTTTCACAGCGAGTCTCTTTTGTTTGTGTCCAGGCCTTCCTGGGGAGGCTGATCTTTGGAGAGAGTCATGCAGCTCTCTGGTGGGTGGGAATCTCTCTGACTCTGTGTGGCCTGCTGCTGCTGCATGGATCCACGCCTCACACACTCCCACCGAAGGAGGTCAAAAAGCACAGCTGATGGAGCTGTGATCCATGCACACAGACACTGTTCTTCAGTCACAACTACCTGTGACAAGACTCCCTCACTGACTGAAGTCCTGATGGAAACCCTCAGGACTCAGTGATCATTCATTGTCCAAATGCAACACAGTGGCACAACAAAATGCAGTTGTAGTTAAGTCCATTGTGCTACAAGAAAAACATTGACAGAACTGAACAAATGAAGAGTGGATTCCTGAAGTGCATTTTTTAATTTGCAACAGAAAGAATTTAGAAAGAAATATCTCTGGGCAGAGTATAGTACATATGGGCACTTATTCCAATCCCTACTCTTCCTTCTCCGATGTTGATAAGTGTATCTCTGTTGTATGCCATATGTGCTCCAGGAAGAAGAAGCAAGAAAAGACAAGCAATTTAATCAAAACTATTACAAAGTGAATTGGAGCTACAGGTCGCTGCATCAAGTGTTGCAATTTTCGTAATTTCATGTGGCAAATGTTAAAGCAGCGGACAGTTGCACAGAGCTGATGATTCATTCATCAGTCACCAGGTCAGTTATAACGTGCATTGATCTGTTTATGCAGTTGTTTTGAATTGTTTTTAAAAGGAAACGTCATTGCACAGCTTATTTTGATGGGGTTTGAGATCAACTTTCTTACTGAAATTGGAATTGATAAGATGGCAAGAAAACCAGGAAAGTAGTTTTACAAATCCCTAGTGTGCCTGTGGGAAATGATTCCAAGCACCACAGAGCTCATTTTCAGGTCAGCTGGTTAAAAACGTGTTAATTTGCATTTTTGAACAATTGAGTACATCAGAATCATGGGGACTTTTGCTGAATGTGTTAACGAGATCTTATCTGTATTTGTATTAAAAAATAACATGAATAAAGGATGCCTGCTATATCTACAAGGTCGTGTGTAAATTGAAAAGATAATACATTTACAACATAGTCCAAATGCTTGGAAATGCATGTGTCTATAAAAATAAGATGAATCCAGGGATGGCAAAAGACAAAAGGTACACCCTTCAAGGTGCCATCAAAACATTCGGAATAGACAACATACAACAACAGAGACACGCAGCATTCATACTAATAACGAAATAAAATGCAGGAATTAATTCACTAGTAGAGTAAATATGTATGTGTGTATAATAAATTGTCCTTAAGCCACCTTTGCACAAGAAACATGAAGTGCATTTTCTTTTCAGGAAATGAAATCATTGTTGGAGCGGTGCGAGGGGTGAACTGCACCGAGCTCACATGGAGTTGATTAGATTTCAATAGAAAGATACTGTGGGGGAAACTTCTGTAGCAATGGAGAGTCAGGACTCAGAGAGACACGAGGAGAGCTGGAGCTCTGATGGCAAACACTGGTGGTTTATTTGGAGTTACGGCCGGAGAATTGACAAGAAAGGTGGTGTGTCACGAGTTGACACAGCGGTTGCCAAACCAATTCTGAAGAACTCTTCTGCAGCTCGAGGTTTTAACTAGTTCGGAGTGTAATAATTGTATAATAATATATATATATTGCCATCAAAGGCATAGAGTCTGGGCCTGTTAAAACAGAAATGTTGATTGATCTTGAAAATGGTGTGATTATTTCAGAACATTTCCAGCTTGATCTGTCTAGTGAAGTAAGTGTCACACCTTGGGTCAAATGTCAAGGTATTGAGTATCGTACCGGTCTTGTTGTCTGCTTAGACTTGATGGATGAGTGTTTGGGCAGATTGTTTGTATTTTTCTGATGAGAGCTGAAATTCATTTTTTGGTATTAGACATGGAAAGTGTATTTGTTGAGCATCTTCATGCCTTTAATGTTGTTAAGCAGGATAGTCTTTCAGTCATCAAACCTGATGCACTGCAATTTCATAAGCCTTTTGATCTGCAAATGTCTGCAAGTGCCAATGACACCCTTTTTTATGTTGTCTTAGACAGCTATGTGCTGTAATTTTTATTTCTCCCTCTGGCATTTTTTTTTTTAGTACTGGCACGGCAGGCAACAAACAACCTTTTTGGACCTCAACTGCCACAGAGGGTTATTTTTTATTTTTGTACATATACATTTTTGCTGTTGAACAATATTGAATGTTGGTTGAATTGAATATTGGGAGAATTTGTCAGTCTTAAGAGACATGCCACCATTCAAATAAAGCACTTGTCATATATGCTGATATCTGGAATGATTTATTGGTCATTGTAACTTTTGACACCAGTTTGTTGTACATCATAATACCAATACACTACATTTGACACTAGATTAGTGTTCATTTTGAACTCCCAGAGGGTTGAGGCTAATGCAAAATGCAACACCAGTATAATGTGCATTCAACACTAGCTCGTACATTTCTAACTCTTAAAGGTGTTAAATGGGAGAAGAGGTATCACTACTGTAGTTTTACTCTACACCAGGACAGTGTTAAATTGAAGCTGCAGCCAACACTGTTAGTGTTGTTATCGGTGTTGGTGTTCAGTGTTGGTGTTCACATCTTACACTCTTAGTGTTGGTATAGTAACACTGTGATAGTGTTATATTGTCAACACTTTGGAAAGTGTTAATTTAACACTTTGCTGGTGGTTTCCATATAAACTCTTTCATAGTGTTAAAATTAACTACATGGGTGTTGAATTTTAGCTTTCAAATGTGCTGTGTGTGAGTGCCACAAGTTGGTGTTTTTCATTTGGATGCTCGTCACAGCATTACAAAAACAAACTATGTTTCGTTGCTACATTTGTGGTTCGTCGCATCATGCACCAAGTATGGTAATTCAGCAGTACTTTGGTAGATTCCCACTTCAAAAAAAGCTTGTTTGTGCCCAGCAGGGATGTTCACTACAGATCAGAAGTTTTGCAGTGTTCACAAAGCATCTAAACAGTTGTCATAGCAACATTAGTATCGGCCCTAGAGGCAATGTTAATAACCCAACAGCACATCAGAGTTCCCACGAAGATGCTTCCGACATGGACTTAGATGAGATGAATGAATCTTCACCCTCTTGTAATCTAAAGACCTGTGTGACATCATGCATGATATACTGGAAGGTGTCGGACAGTATGAAACAAAGTTGATGTTTGAATACTAGAATAAGAATGTCTGGAAAACATACTCCAATGTACTGGCTTCATGGATAAGAAGAACCGTCCATCACACATACATCTCTTTCTGGCTTATTGTTGCACATTCATTGTACATGGGTAGTACATTCTTTACTAAAATTGTGTAATTTATTCGCTACTGTTGTTAATATTATTTCAAAATGTAACTCTTAAAGTATATATTGTAACTCCTAATAGTGTGCTTTTTGACTCTTTAGGAGTTTATTGTATGCTAATAGTGTTCATCTGAATGTATATTATTATATATAAATACTCTGAGTGTCAGCAATAAGTGAATTTGGAACACCGACTAGTACTTAGGGGTACTGGAGGGGTTGCAGTGGGTATGTAGAAAGATTAGGGATTGCATTTTATTTCCATACAACAAAACATCTTTAAATCAATGAGCCGTGTTGTTTTGTGCAGAGAAAATGTAAAACTGTGGCACAAACAAGCAAATAATACAACATCAGTCCACAAGGGATGAGGACAACCAGACTGTCCACACGTGCTTTCATTCGGCTTCAGTCATTTTGTTGAGCCACTGTCAATAAAAGAGTACTAATTTATCGTGTTAGAAAGTTCACACTCATTCCACAGTTTGTGCCTTTCTTTTTTGGTCATTAAGGTGGTGGAGCAATCTTTAATGAATGTGGACTCCAGCCCTCCTCAAGAGGGACTTGCATGTGTTTCTTGGGAAGTGCAGTGGAGACATAACCATATGTTTTGCTGAAGTCAAAATCTCACATCTTAGCTGTACCAGAGTTAGCTTTATGCTAATTTACACGTGCCACAGGAAACAGAAAAACATCTGTTATTATCATATTTAGTACATGATTAGTGACGTAACAGTGTTACATCAGTGCTTCAGCAAAGTGACAAGGTGTAATGTATGTAAGGCAGCAGCAGCAGGTTTTAGCCTGTGTTTACTTACTCTTTAAGGAAAAACAAATCAACTCAGAAAGAACTTGATGACTCAAAATTAAACTTGCATGGATCAATACCCCGATCAGAAGTAATATTGTAAAATGCCCCAGTCTCAATGAAGGGAGACTAACCTTTAAACAACTTAATGCATTTTATTTCAGTGGTTTCACTTCCACTGCAACTGTGTACATGGAACTGAGACATTAAAATACATAAATATCATATTGCATATACACATCCCTTTCATTCATTCCTCTGTCTCAGTATATGTGACTTTTTATTCTACACATCTTTACAATGTTTCAACTCATAGTTTTCCTGAACACTGAGCGAAATGTCCACACTCAGAAGAATCTCACTGTACTTGAGTGATGATTTGTGATATTCATGACGCCCATCAGACCCTGGAGGCGTTTCCTGCTGTCAGCGTCATCAGGTCCTAGTGCATAGAAATGTTTTTACAAGTTGATCAATTCAAGTCAGCTCTGTGATGCTCTCTCACACACAGGGTGGGGGTGTGTGGAGGCTCTTCAGCCCTGGAAGGCGTGCAGCTCCTCTTCACTGAAGCCCTGCTGCTTCAACAAGCTGAAACACCAACACACAAGAGGGAGAGAGAAGAGGTGACCTTAGGGCTGAGTATCACTGCAGTGCTATCTTATGAAGGTGTTTATCCGAGGCCATAAGTCTGGATTTACTTTCATCCAACAATCAAATGGCACACTGATATGAAGATATTGTGGCCCACACTTCTCATCTGAATAATAAATACCTCACTAACAAATTCTGAAATGGTTTGATTGTTACTGGTCAGTGATAAAGAAGGTCAACAAAGTGAGAGCAAGCTTGAAGCAAATGCCCTTTCTAATGTATGGCTCTAGCCCAGTGGAACACAAGGGGCGCTTTCCACCGGAGTACTTTTACCCGTACTTTTCCCGTTTAGTTCCGATAGTGCCTGGAATTTTGCGTTCACACCAAAAAGAGAACTTATTACCCATTTTTAGTGCCTGCTAGAGAGGTGGTACTATCCTGGGGAGAAAAAAGTACCAATTTCTGATTGGCTGGGTGAATTGCAAACCACGCCCCTGAAAAATCGGAAAGGTTTTTTGAAGCCTTCATTGTATTTGCTGGCATTAGCATTATTAGCATTAGCATTAGCATTAGCCCCGCGCACCAACGGAGAGAGAATAACTTATGGCAACACAAAAAAAAACATGGGAGCGGTGGAGATGACGAGGTGTCGGCATTCTGGCGATTTACTCTGAAGGCTTCAGTAGAAGCCGCTGGGAGTCCCAGCAGCTTCTACTGAAGCCACTCCCCAACTCCGGGGACTTCCGGCCGGGGACTCCGGGTGGCAGTATACGCCGTGAAGTTGTTTGCGGCCTGCCAGTAATCCCAAAGCAGAAGAAGAAGTGACGTCAGCGGCTTAATTTGCCTAATCCTCCCTCAGGGACTTATTCCAGTGTGAACGGGATCTGCTTTTTTATCAGAACTGAAGAGTTCTGATGAACTAAGTACGGCAAAGTACTTGGTATGAAAGCGCCTATAGTTTATGACATTTCTAAAGAATATAAAACATGACTTTAAACCATGTTTAAAATATTGTTAAAAATCATGTCGGTTAAATGGATACCTTGCGTCCCTCACTTGCGTAGTTTCCCTGCGACTAGTCCCTCCCACCAGGGAAGCATGGAGAGACGCAAGGAAACCACGAGAAGCAGGGAAATGAGTCTTAAGAGCAATGGGACGTCCTTTCCTCCGGAGCGTCACGTGAAGCGACGTCTGTTTGTGATGACACCGCACAGCTGATGTCTGACAGCAGCTCATGTCCCCGTTGTTTTCACAAACACCCCCGCCTCTGTTTGTACACATTTACTGACATATACATTTGTATCATCTGTTGTAGACCCAAATAAATAAAATAAAATAAGAACTCATTCTCAAAAAAGATAAACGCCATTCTTAAAATGTATAAACGAAAAAAGCGATCATGAAAATGTTTCCAATAAATGAATAAAATAATTTTTGACCACTTTGTTGTTCAGATATATCACATATTTGTAACTAAATGATACATGAATTGAAGCAAAACACAGTATAAACTGAGGAGTGACTCCCGTGAGTTTCATGTGTTTTCTTCACTCCGCTGGGAAACTGCTCTCATGTCAAGAAGCATCAGATCAGTGCATGCACTGCATCGTCCAATCAGTGAGCGATACACAGTAAGGGGGCGGAGCGAGTGGCTGAGGATTTCACCGGAGGATGGTCTGGTAGTTCCTCGGTTATCGCTCCTCCATTATCGCTCCTCGCTCCTCGGTCCTCCGGCAGAAATAAGCGCCATGGGACGCTACTCAAGATGGCGCAGACAAATCAACTTCCGGTGATACCGAGGAAATAACCGACCTGAGACGCAGCCAGCGGCTTCATTTGCGTAATCTTCCCTCAGGGAACTTATTCCGGTGTGAACGCGATCTGTACTTAGTTCCATGGGGGAACTAAGTATTCCTTGTTTTGTCTAGTTTCTGAACATATATGAGGAGCTGTGAGCTTGAGTGCTAACAGCTAACGGCTGATGTTGTTTTTCTGGGGTTCTCATTGAAGATGACGTCACGGCTCCGCCTACACTGCGTTACTATAGATACTACCCCAGTTCCTAAACTGTAATGGAAATGCGCCATAAAGTGAGCCAGTCCTAACAAGGCCTAACGAGACCTAGCCATACCGAGCGAGGCCGAGCGAGGCAGTGCATGAATTCAACTGGCAGCAAGGCTGATTGAAGCCCTCCTCCTGTGTAACTCAATGGTTTACAGCTGTCAGATACTTTGAGAAGATTGCATTGATTGTTTTTTGGACATGGAGCAGAATCAGGTTTTACTTACAGTATGCACCACACCTAGCCTAGCTGTGTGCACAAACTTCCTGTGCAATGTCCAAATACAATGACATCCTGTCTGATCAGGTTATAATGAATTGTGCATGTGTTTGACTCCATCTGACTTAATAATACACACCCTATTGTTATCTCTGTGAAGGCAGTGGGGCCACACACACACACGTAGCATTTGGAGCCCTCCGGCCTGGTGAGGAACTCCTCCAGCATGGACTCCTCTACCCGACCCGTCCTGCCGCTCCAACTATCACAGGGATCAGAGAGCACGTACTCCACCTGAAACCTGACACACAAACACACACATTCTGAAGGTGTACACACACACACTGAGGTATAGAGGTAGCACAATCATGTTTAAAGATGGAAATCATCTGCATCTCACACTTCTACCTTATTACACATGTGTTGAGTCTGAAGCACGGTGGCAATACACAATGCAACTCAATGTGTCCCTTTACATCTCACAATCTCTTCTATTACAAATGATTCTTTGTTGTTGTTTGTTGATCAGTCAACACTGCCTAATCTGATGTGCTCTGGTGTACTGCACTCTAAACAGAAACATATACCATTTGTTATACTAAACCAAGTCTTTCTCTGTTGCTAATGTCCATACAAAGTACAATACATGTAGCATGTGTTTCTGCACCAGGCAGCACCAGAGTTCCCGTTAACCGGTAATTACCGGACTATGACCAGTAAAATATGCTGAAGACCGGCAAATCTAAATCTCTCCGGTCAAAATGTCCGGTTAAAATAATTTCCCCTTGGCGCAATACCGCATCAGTTGCGCCACTTATGTGACAGACAAGAAGAGTATGTGACAGACAAAAGAGTATGTGACAGACAAAAGAGTATGTGACAGACAAGAAGAGTATGTGACAGACAAGAATAGTGTGTGACAGACAAAAGAGTATGTGACAGACAAAAGAGTATGTGACAGACAAAAGAGTATGTGACAGACAAGAAGAGTATGTGACAGACAAAAGAGTATGTGACAGACAAGAAGAGTATGTGACAGACAAAAGAGTATGTGACAGACAAAAGAGTATGTGACAGACAAAAGAGTATGTGACAGACAAGAAGAGTATGTGACAGACAAAAGAGTATGTGACAGACAAGAAGAGTATGTGACAGACAAAAGAGTATGTGACAGACAAAAGAGTATGTGACAGACAAAAGAGTATGTGACAGACAAAAGAGTATGTGACAGACAAAAGAGTATGTGACAGACAAAAGAGTATGTGACAGACAAAAGAGTATGTGACAGACAAGAAGAGTATGTGACAGACAAGAAGAGTATGTGACAGACAAAAGAGTATGTGACAGACAAAAGAGTATGTGACAGACAAGAAGAGTATGTGACAGACAAAAGAGTATGTGACAGACAAGAAGAGTATGTGACAGACAAAAGAGTATGTGACAGACAAAAGAGTATGTGACAGACAAAAGAGTATGTGACAGACAAGAAGAGTATGTGACAGACAAGAAGAGTATGTGACAGACAAAAGAGTATGTGACAGACAAAAGAGTATGTGACAGACAAGAATAGTCAATTATAATGTCTACACTTAATGTGGAGAAAGAGATGTCCTGTATGGGTTGATTGTGCGTTGATCTGTTGGTAATGCCTCGGGGTTCCAGTGGGCATGTAAATAAATGCATAATGCTGCGCTTTACTTTGCTGACCCGGTTGCATAGCGACGCTTATTGTTTAGGTGTCTTTTAATAAGCAGGTAGTCATATCATTAGCTAGAACTAGCTAGATCTGATCGATATGGACATAAACGCGAGTAAAGTCTAATCTGACGGGAGAGAGAGATCGGCTGCTGCTGACGAGTCGACACGCAGCTCTGCATGATCCCCTGCAGCGGTGAGCGGAACAAAACACACTTCAGGTTAGAACATCACACGTAGCTATTTTAATTACCTCTCAAACTACCTAAACTAGTTATAGATATGTTTAGTTTTACTGTCGGGTCACTCATTACTGGATCAGCCAGCTGCATGATACTGACGGGCTGTCAGGAGAAGGAGAGAGCGCTCCGTTTATTATTCCCGTGTTATTGTAAGTTACTGTACACTTTTGAATAATATAGTTAATCTATAATTAGTTTGTTTAATATCGAATCATATCAATTTGTTTTAAAACTCAATAAATAACAAAAAAGACCTTTGACCGGCACTTTTCTAATTTGTCCGGAAGATTTAAACTGTAACGGATATTTTGACCCGCAAAAAAATAATAACGGGAACTCTGAGCAGCACATCATTTATTTCATTGTAGAGCACTGACCAAATTGCACAGACTGCAGCTGCCAAACGTATTTGAATAATAGACTGCTGCAGCTGTTGAAGGTTATCCCAGAAAGCTTAGAAACAGAACCCGTTTCTGATTAAAATCCACAGAGGGCTTTAAGATAGAACAAACATTTGATAGAAAGATTTGAATTTCCCCTCCTGTGAATTGTCTCTTCATCTTCCTTCTAAGAAGTATCTTTCTGGTCATTTGTTCAAATATAAAACAGTGGGCCAAACAGTCAGTACCTGTCAGTGTTAGCAGCCAGGTCATCCAGCTCACAGCGCCACAGGATGTCCTCCTCACGCCGGTTAAAACAGAGCAGCTTGGTTTTTCTGAGGAAACACAAACAAAGATGACTGTCAGGCAAGGCCATGGAGTTATAATCAGGTGGTCTGAGTGCTTCATGTGTTGCAGTTAGTTATAGTAAGTCTACACTATAAATCTCACTTGAATTAATTCACAACAGAAATATTTCCCCAATTTCAATTTAAAACATTTAAACCCATGACACTAAAATAACTATTAATAAAGGAAAGGGGATGCAATTCGAATGAGCTTTTTGCAAAGACAGCACAACATCAAAAAACATAACCAATCATACACAAAGCCTAATAAATAACAAAAAAAGATCTAAAAAGATCAATTTGGGAACTAAATAAAGGGCAGCAGGTCCGGGGAGTTCCCACCTCATGGTGTCGGTGTCCTGCAGGGCCTGCTGGATGAGGCGAGCCATTGGTGTGAACCCTGTGCCTGCTGCTAATAGGTAGAGGTGTGTGACATCACGAAGGGGGCGGAGACTGAAGGTCCCCTCTGGACCACTGACGGATACACAGTCACCTAGAGAGCAACAACAGACAAGAGGTCGTGAACACTTCTACTATCAGTCACTGCAGTGAGGGACTGCACAGTGGAGAGCTTTTATGATGCTTTAGGATTTGAAAAAAGCTTGAAGGCAGCAGAGCAGGAAGTGTGTTTATGACAACTGAAATAGAAACTCAGCCATGTTCTAGGGTCAGATCTATCTGTGCGGTGCAAATGAGAAGAGATTTAACTAAGAATGTTTCTGCGACAGCTGTCCTGCCCTAAGCTAAAGCTGCATTCAGGTGTTCACGATGAGAAGGCAAAGAGTAACATTGATAAGAACACTACAAGGTCTACCCAGGCTGCATAGTCAAAAGTAGCACACATTAGCAGCAGCGTGTACCTTCAGTGGAGTACTGACACAGGATGTGTTCAGGTACAGCACTGTTGTGTGGGTTCATCCATGCTATGGCTCAGTGCAACATCACTGTAGTTACAACAGAAGAAGAATAGCTGTTTAGACCGGGCCTATTCAATGGTTTTAATAATAATAATAATAATACATTTGATTTATATAGCACACTTTAAAGACAACGTCATCTCAAGGTGCTTCACAAAGCTATAAGGAGAAAATAATAAAATAAAAATATATCTAAAGGAGCATATTGAATAAAATATGGTAATACAAAAAATAAAACTCAAAGGTTAAGAGCATAAAAGGTTTAAAAAATAAATAAATAAAAGTAAAATAAAGGACGGTCAGTAAAATGCGGTACGGAACAGGTGGGTCTTGAGGCATTTCCTAAAAACTGAGAGTGATGCCGAGGTCCGTATGTTCTCTGGAAGCTGATTCCACAGACGTGGACCCAGGGAGGAGAAAGCACGGTCTCCCATGCTGACCAGTTTTGTCCGTGGAACAGCCAGGAGATTGGAGCTGTCTGACCTGAGTGTGCGTGAGGTATGGGAATGTTTTCTGGTTAGCAGTTCCTGTAGGTAGGTGGGGCCAGTGTGGTTGATGGCATTGAAGACCATTATGAGGACTTTATAGTTGATCCGGTGGGTTACAGGGAGCCAGTGGAGTGAGTGAAGGATGGGAGTGATGTGCTCTGATTTGCGTGTTTTTACTTGTAACTGAGTATCCGGGCGGCACAGTTTTGTACATATTGTAGTCTCTGAGTGGTTTTTGCTGGAATGCCTGCAAGCAGAGAATTGCAGTAGTCAATGCGGGAGGTGATGAAGGCATGGACCAGTTTTTCTGCGTCCGGTTTGGTGAGGGAGTGTCGCATTTTGGAGATGTTCCTCAGGTGGTAGTATACACCAAAAGCAGCGAAGAAGACCCCGGAGCATGGTTGCCATGGTTTCCCTTCTGTTTATTCTCCGCGGTAGACGGCGTGTGCTCCTGCTGTACATCTCTCCGGTAGTCCACCAGCAGATGAAAAACACCCACCTCTCCGCCTCTTCCAAGGGACGAGGGGACCGTGCGGCAGAGTATCCGTTAACATTTTTTTCCGCCGGTCAACATGTCCGTTAAAGTTTAAATCTTCCGTAGGCCTACAAAATTAGAAAAGTGCCGGTCAGAAGTCTTCTTTGTTATTTATTGAGCTTTAAAACAAATTGATAACGACTCTATATAATAATATAAGAATAATAAACGGAGCCTCTCTTTTCCTCCCCCTCTTCTGACAGCCCAGCAGCTGATCTCTGAGCAGGAGACGTGGGGAGAGGGAGACGTGGGGAGAGGGAGACGTGGGGAGAGGGAGGCGGGGCTTTTTCATCGTTATCAGAAAATGATCGTATAGAGGCGTACAGACGGATCCGTTTGACCCCCCAGAGCGTTTCGTTTGCAAATCTATCCACCTTGGGACCCGTTATCGTTTGCGGGGTCCGTTTCTATCGTTTTGTGACGGCCTTGTGTAAACGAAAGGGCTATACACAAGAGAAACTATGCGGATACAACCCGTTTCGTCCTCGTGTAAACGGGGTCTCAGTTGTTGCTCATCCAGTGGTGTATGTGTTCCAGGCATCTTGAGACATTTGAAAGTGCCAGATGTTTATCCGGGGCAGTTTGGAAATAAATCTGTGTGTCATCGGCATATGTGTGGAAGCTGATGTTATGGCTCCTCAGTATTTGTCCCAGGGGCAATATGTAAATTAAAAAGAGCAGTGGCCCAAGGACTGACCCTTGGGGTACACCAGAGGTGACACAGTGTGTGTCGGAGGTGCTTTTCCCAAGATGGACATATTCCTGTAAGACAGGTTGGTTTTTAAAAGGCTTTTGTGTTTCATATCATATCCACCTGAAACCTGAGAGCTGGCACTGAATTAGTATGATATATGAACTCAAAACAAGAGATTTAAAGAACATTCCTAAGAAAAAAAACAAAAACATTAATAAACAACCAACATAGGGCCTTGCAATGTTGGGATAATTTCAACTTGAAATCAAATGCATCGTTTCATACCAGCAGTTAGCCTGCTCCTGCAGTCATCTTGTTAATGAGTAATTAGCATTATATTAATATCTAATTTAAATTCTGTTTTAGAACCATTGTGCAGTACCTGGAGAATGTGCTGGGAAACAGTGTTGTGGTACTTTACTCCGGATTGTAAAGAAGAACTCGCCAAGTGGAAACTTTCAGATAAGCAATGGTAGGCTCAATAGGTTTTTATACAATACAAATGTTTCTTAAATAGTCAAATCTATACTGGGTTGCTAGTTTCCCACCTAATTAAATTGTGTGGGCTGGTAGCTGGAGAGGTGCCAGTAACTCCTTTGCACTGCAGAGGTGTCTCGAGCAAGGCACTGAACCCCAAACTGCTTCCTTCCGCCTGAAAAAAACTCGGTCTGTGTATGTGTGTGTATTGTACTAGATATAATAACAGAGCAAACAACTGAATTTCTCCTCAGGATATCTTCTAAACAACCCATACACTATAAGTAGGCTAACTCTTGCTAGCATCCCACCAAGTAAGCCTGAACAACAGCACTGTGCTAACTGTTGCCTCATCACACAAACACTGGTTCAAACCTTGTGATGTTGTAATGGTCGTGCCTTTGGAAGCACTTTGGGGTTCAGTATCTTCAGCACAGGGGATCAAACCACCATTCTTCTGATTGGTCAAACCAACTGTAGCTCCTGAGCTACACCCTAACCTGCACATTCATTTACATACACCCTCAGCCTCTCTCCCACACAATCCTCTTCCTTCTCCCTTTCCTTACATGACCCACAGGGACTCTGGTTGTTACTCACCGATGTGCAGGCTGCTGAGATGTGGGGTGAACACTCCGTCAGGATACACTTTGATCATGAGGTAGAGGTCGGATTCCTGCGAGGAGTTGTGTGAAGCTGCTGCCAGGCTCTGGTCTACTGGAGTGTACGGCCTCACCACTTCTGTGTCTGGATATGAACACAATGCCAATTACATATAACTTCTTAATATCATATAACATATCTTATTCATGTTCCCCCTCACAGCAACTTTAGTCCTACTCTGTAATTAATGATGCGTTGAGGGAGCCTCAGAAAAGTGATGTGTCTGTAATGATGAAGAGTAACACTTCTGTGCCTACAGTTCTCACTATCTATGATTTTAAAGATGTCATTTACTCTTTTTGGTGTCACCTTATTGATATCTCAATATAACTCATATTTAACCATTTCAAAGTTTGAAATACGCTGTAATGACGGAGCGATCGATGTGTGCTTCTTTTCATTCAAAAATGAATCACAGCAATAATAAAGTGATCAACTGAATACATTTAATAATTCTTTAATTTTACTTAAAGGGGACCTATCATGCAAAATGCACTTTTGTACGTCTTTTATACATGAATATGTGTCCCCGGTGTTCCAGGGAACTCACCAAGTGTCAGAAAACACAACCCTCTCTATTTTCCTCCATACCCAAATCTCTAAAAAAGGGGCTGCAACGGATCTGATAAAAACTGATCCAGATTTGAACACTTTACTGACGTCAGGAAAGTGGCGCTACGGCTATTGGGCTAACTCTCCACCTATCAGGGGAATGTGGGGTTGGGCCACGGCCGGCCATTGCCGCTCGAAAGCGCTGGAGACGCTGTAGTACATATGCCAGGCCTGTAAGTGGCGCTGTAGTCTGCCACAAAAGCAGCCAAGAAGACTTCCCGCCCATAGTTACCATGGTTACCCTTCTGTTTATTCTCCGCTGTGGCTTTTTTTCTCCCTCCCCGAGGCAAGCGTTTGCTCCCGCTGCTTTAATTCAATGCAATCCCTCCCCGTCGAGGCAAGCACTGTAATTCTCTCCGGTTAGTCCACCAGCAGATGACAAACACCCACCTCTCCGCCTCTTCCAAGGAACGAGGGGACCGTGCGGCAGAGTTTCAGTTTCAGTTTCTTTCGCCGGTCAAGATGTCCGTTAAAGTTTAAATCTTCCGGACAAAATTAGAAAAGTGCCGGTCAAAGGTCTTCTTTGTTATTTATTGAGCTTTAAAACAAATGAATAACGACTCTATAGGCCTATAATAATATAATAAAACAGGAGGACGGAGATCTTTTTTTCTCCCCCTCTTGACTTGATCAGAGCACGGCTCCCCTCTCCTGCAGGGGGGCGTGGTCAGCTGCAGCTCACAGAGATCAGACCCGTAGACAGCAAACAGCACATAGAGCGAAATGAGGCATGGCTAAAATGCATGATCTGTTTGGTATTTTGAAAACAGAAACGTATAAATATACCTTATATAGGTATGGCCCTACAATATATCATTTAAATATAGCATGATAGGTCCACTTTAAATATTTACTGTAGGGTTCAGTTTAAGCCTAGGGACCTTATTAGAATGTCATATAAATCTTCTTATCACATACTTCTACCAAATAAAATCTAAATCCCACATTTCCATATAAGCTCACCAATATGTGTTGTCAATTTCCAAAGTATTGAACTTGTATGGACATCAAATGGATATCTTATCCAACATTTTTATTAATCCTAACATTGACTTCTGGCCTTCATTTCAAGTCGAAGACAACAAGACAAGAACTTCTGATAGAAATGAATGAAACATTAGACAGCATCAAACTTCCCCTTTTCTTGTGACCCAGTATACCACACATAACAACTTGCTGGAATCACTGAAGGTAGCAGTGTACATTGTTTTCTTACTTTGAAGTTAATAATGTTTGAAGAAGAACTTTTGCTTCAGCTTAGAGGAGCACATTCACTGAACATAGTGCAGTGCTGTCCTTACCTTTGATGAGGGCTTTGAGGTAGACATGTTTTCCCACAGGCACGTGCATGACAGTCCCACGAGGAAGTTGCAATCTGAACACATGGCTGTTATGGTTCACCTCCGTCTTAGACACCAACACACAGTCCCGATAGTACAGAGCTGTGAAAAGAAGATCATTGATGTAGACTCATTATTCATTTTGTAAACTTATTCTTGGGTTCCCAAGTAAATAGTAAGTAAGCAAATGTCCAATCTTATCTGGTGAACAATTTTAAAAAGTGGCAGAATGTGGAGAAAGAAGCAGTTTGAGATGAGCACACAACATTTTGTACTTTTTGGTATCTCTGTTGGTAAATTTAAATGTAATCAAACATGCAAACATTCCAACATAACAAAGTAACTGTATTCATTGTTAATGTGGTTTAATTTTAATTCTTTCATTTCCCCCACCTCTAACGGACTTTCAGTCATACAATAACTATCTCCCCCGAGCCTACAGGCGGATGCTGGGGTGGTGGGTGGGCAGGCGAGCAGCAGCAGCAGCAGCAGCAGCAGCATTAGCAAAGCAGAGGCAGCAGACCTGGCAGCTTAAATGGAGCGGCAGGTTTAGGAGAATGTGATTGGCTGGTTGGAAGAGGGACGAGGTGCGTCCCGTGTAAATGTATCGAGTTGACTGCCTGAACCAGCTCGCAGGCTTTGCCTCATAAGTGGTGTGACACAATTCATGTCAAAACATATCTACATCAGGGTTTCCGTTAGCCGGTAATTACCGGTTTTTAGCTGGTAAAATGTATTAAACACCGGTAAATTCAAAACCTGCCGGTCAAAATGTCCGGTAATAATTGGGGATGCTCCGATCGATCGGCCGCCGGTCATTATCGGCCGATATTCACTCTTAATAGTTTGATCAGGAGAGCTGGATCTGATCGATATGGACATAAACGCGAGTGAAGTATAACCGGACGCGAGAGAGATCAGATCAGCTGCTCTGAGACACGCAGCTCTGCATAATCACCTGAAGCCCCGCCCGCTGTTTAGCGAGCTGCATGAGATACAGACGGGCTGTCAGGAGAGAGAGGGAGGGAGAGAGGAAAAGAGAGGATCCGTTTCTCCCGTGTTATTATTCAAATTGAATGTAAACTTCATCTACTACAAGTAGTTTGTTTGAATGTAATAATTATGTTGTTTGCTGTTTGTGGAAGCGCATCATTTATTGAAAAATGAATCTGAATTTTTTTGATCTGTTAAGGCCGCTACACACCAACCTGAGACCAAAGAACACGTACCGAAGGCGTCCCGACTTTTACGTCCGCTACGTCACCTGCGTCGGCTACGCCGCCCGCCTACGAACACACCGCAAAGACTTCAGTTGACGAGTGGCAATAACTGTCCTTACCAGCAGGCAGCGGTAGTGTGTATTCGTCATTCAAAAGAGGCAACAACCGGAAGACAGAATATACACAGAGAGAAGAAGAACAGGCTGCGTGATATAAACAAACAACAAATAGCGTCTGGGTTCCATTTTCACTCTCTCTCGTCGATCGAAAACATGTAAACATAAAAAAGAAACTCTTGCGTCCGGGTGAGATGAAAATGAAAAAGATTAACCGTCTGTGTTTGCCTTCTTAATCGTTTGTTTTGGTCCCTCACTTCCGCTTCGCTTCTCATGCACTGACTCGCTAAGCTGAACAGCCAATCAGAGTGATTTATTTGTCCCGACTTTCTTTGGTTGAATCGGCCGCGGGAGGTGTGAAAATGTGCCGTAAAGAGACGATGGTGCGGGACACACCAACCTGAGTAGGGCGCCGCGAATGCCCGACTGCCTCTGACGGCCTCTGACTCCCAAAATCGGGTTGGTGTGTCAGGGGCTTTACGATTATAAACTGAAGCAATATAAAAATGAGCCCCATTAACTGAGTTTTAAACATCAGCATATCCGGTCATAGTCCGGTAATTACCTGCTAACGGAAACTCTGCTACACAATTCATATTATTATTATTGAAACATGACCGGTAAGTTTCAAATTTGTCCGGTAAAATAAATTCTGTCCGGACATTTTACCGGCAAGAAAGAATCCTAGCGGAAACCCTGATCTACATATGTAAAATTCAAATGATGCGCTACAAATAAGAGGAAAAGGTTCAAGGTTCAAGGTTCAAGGTTCAAGGTTCTTTAAAAAAGAAAATCCAAGTAGAAAGATGAACTGATCTTGGAACTTACCTCTGTCTTTTTTGCGTAGAAATGTGTTGTGAGATTCCAGTGGTTGACCGAGACTTGTCCATTTTCCTTTGGCCTGTTTGCGTATGCTGACCTGGATCTTTCCCACCGAGAAGGCAGTGTTGGCTGTTGGAGAAAGGACAGTTTCAGGAGAAGAATATTATAATAATAACAGATTCTGCCGATTATATTAAATGAAGACGGTTTCTCACCCTCAAGGTTTCCCTCAACTTCATCAGCCAGACCTGTAAAAGCATGAACATGACACCAAGCCGATTTAGATTACCTTTGCGATCATCCAGTAAGAAAACCACAGTGAAACAGAGTCCTTTTTTTACTTAAACATTTTATAAAAATATCACAAGACAAATCATTCTAATAGAACATTACAAAAAGTTATGCAATGATAACGTTTCTTGCAGGATTCCTTGTAATGTTATAGTCACTCAGTAGGGCTGCACAACTAATCAACATTTGAAGCACATTGTTTGTTAAAGGATAAACATTTGTTAAAATACCGTTTTGAATATAATATTGTGGAGCTGCAGCAATATCCCGGCATACAAATCGTATCCTACAAACTTAACAAAAGGTATTTTTTTGGTACAGATCCACCCTAAATAATCACACCAAGATAATTGTAATATATATTTATTTAATAATAATGAGGATTATGATTCAAGACTAAGCAATCCCTCTAATATCATATCTCAGAATAAAATATTATCATTTTAGAAAACCTATTGTGAAGATGTAAAGACCAATAACCATTGCAGCACATTTGAGATGTGGAACTAGGGCCGCTGGTATCAAATGATCCTGATTATGAGCGACACATTTATTCACTTTATCTGGAGTTATGCAATATTATCTTCCATCTGCATTTACCGATTTTCTCTCTATAGATATACTGTACTTGTTCTGCTGCCTGCATATAGAGTGGTGCAGTTATGACGTATAGTTGTAGGCCGACCCGGAAGTAAGCTGTGCAAGGGTTCCCTCGACAAAAAAGCAATGGGAGTTCTCCATAGGATTTTGGAATATTGTAGAAAACAAGATCTGTGGAAAACAAAACCTGTTTGATAGATGCTCGTAAATGTAATCGCCAGAAGCAAAAGGCTAACGTCATGCTATAAACTAACTACAGCACCCATATAGTCCTATAGCGTCCTATAGTGTTTACTTCCCGTCCGTCTTCTTCTGCTGTTCCCGTTAGTGTTAACTTCCTGTCTGTCTTCTTCTGCTGCTGTTCCCGTTAGTGTTAACTTCCTGTCTGTCTTCTTCTGCTGCTGCTGTTCCCGTTAGTGTTAACTTCCTACGGTCTGTTGTCCACAGCTGAAGTTTAATCGACAGGACTTGATATGACTGCACAAAGTCCCTTGATCCTCAGTAGCAACGGTCATTTGATGCTTAGCCGCAGAGTTTAAGCGAGTATTGACAACCTCTGAAATGTACAAATTGACCAATCAGAATCAAGTATTCCACCAAGTCGGCGTAATGACGTACAGCGTCCTCGACAACTTCTGTAGTCCTATTCAGCCACTTGTTAACAACCATCGTTTTTCAGACACGTAAACTCTTCAGAAATCACCAGTGGGGTCACTGCTGATGTATTTAATGTCATAGAACAAAACATGATCCGTCTCTTAAATGTGTGTCAACCTCAGACCTTATTTCCAGCTATTTTCCAAAATCCTATGGAGAAATCCCATTGGCTCTGAGACGAGGGAACAGGTAGTGGTAAAATGCTAACTCACTTCCAGATTTTAGGACTCATTCCTGCACCACTCTATAGCTTTAGGAATGTAACTGTAATGTATTAATCCAATTGTATTGGATGCCCAGCCTATATACAGTAGGTCATCCTGGCACAAACAAATAAGCAGGCCAAATATATTGATACTGTGTAGCACTCTCAAAAGCAGAAGTTTCAAAAGAGGGAAGTGTCTCTCACTTCGGTTTTTGTTAAAGAGAGCACATTCAAATGTAGAAAGTCTTATCTCTACTCACTTAAATGTATCATGTAGGACATTTTCCCCAGCAGCACTTCCACTCGCAGAACACCCCCCTTGAGGTCAACAATGGTACAGCCTGAGCTGGGGATCTGACAGAAAAACAGTGTGCAGAGTTATGTCAACCATTGATACAAGTCCCTCTGGGGCCAGTTAGTAATCTCATCATTCAAATGTTTGTATAAATATAAATGCATCCTTCAAACTGTTATTGAAATGCAACTCTATGTTTCAAACTTTTATTAAAATATGATTTCATACTACAAATCTGTATTAAAATATAATAGTAACAGGCTAGTTATGCAATTTATTATCTCAAAGATTTTAATTTAAAGTTACAATGTATAGGTCTGAGCCACCTGCTCCAAATAAAGAGGCAGTGTTTCACCTCTACTACTGGTAGCATAACATATACATTTATCTATCATCATACGTATTTAGAAAGCCTACTATGGTGTGTTATTATGTGTGTATATTTTAGTTGAGGTAGTTTGGCATGTCTATTGTATTGTAATCTTAGGAGTATTCCAATATACAAAATGCATCAGGGATGTGCGTATGGTCGACGAATGCTTACCTTTCTTTTAGCATAAACCACCAGATGAACGGTCACATCAGTCTGGAACCAGTCGTACCTTCACAAACACACAGCAGAACATAACGTCATTGAGCATTTTTACTTTACATTACATGTCACTTGTTAGGCGCTTTTATCCAAAGCGACTAACATACATTCAGTACTGAGGACAATCCCCACAGGAGCAATTTGGGGTGAAGTGTCTTGCCCAGGGACACAACGACATGCTGACTGCAGTGGGACTCGAACTTGCTATCCCTTGATTCAAAGTTCAGCGCACTAAGTTCAGCGCGCTATACCACTGAGCCACAGCCTCTTTTAACTTCGACATATGTGCATTGATATTTTTTGTATATGTACTATGTTTTTTTCATACCGAGGCCGAGAGTCTTTGTCTGGGGGAGGAGCCAGCGGCTGAGGGGGGGCAAGGCCTGTCGCTGATGGAGGAGGCATGGCAGCTGTGAAGAAAAACGTTAGTCAGTCAAATTCTTATTCACATGATTTACAAAGCAGCAGCAAGGCAGAGGGGAAACTTAAACAAACAATAAAACACCATAAGATAAAAGACATGCATTAATATTTTAAAATGAAAAGTTATTTAAAACAACCTTGTTGATAAAGATTAACAGTGATGTTACACTCCTGCTGAGAGTCTTCACAACCCTTTTACATTACATGTTACTTGTTAGACGCTTTTATCCAAAGCGACTTACATACTCAATACTGTGGGCAATCCCCACAGGAGCAATTAGGGGTGAAGTGTCTCAGGGACACAACGACATGCTGACTGCAGTGGGAACCTGTGACCATCTGATCCCCATACCAAGGCTCTATCCACAGCGCCACACGCCTCCCACAACCCTTCATAGATGACTCTCAGTCCTTCCCTGGGGGACTCCAGTTTAACCATCAATGCAACTCCTGGGATTTCTAAGGTGCCGTTTACACGAGGACAAAACGGGTTGTATCTGCTACTTTTCTCTCGCGTTCATTCACACGAGGCCGACACGTAAACGCGGAAACGGACCCCGCAAACGATAACGGGTCCCAAGGTGGATAGATCTGCAAACGGAACGCTCTGGGGGGGCAAACGGCTCCGTGTGCACGCCCTATACCAGGGGTACTCAAATACAAATCTTAAAGGTCCAAAGAAATTGTTCAATAAGACAAAGGTCCGTTTATTACGGTCATTCAAACTTTTAAACAATTGCAACAAGATTCTTAACACGAGGTTGCAAAAACAAAAATAATCTGTATGCAGCAGTTTTCATTGTTATTGTGTCTTTGCTTGATCCCTCAGAGTCGCAGTGTAAGAGCTGCACAGTTATGAATAAAGGCAGCTGCACCCTCTTTCATTCAGCATTCCCATTATTGCTTTATAAATGTCTTGCCCCCTTGTGTGTCCACTGAGGTTCGTCAGGCCCAACACATCTTCAACAAACTCCCCCTTTGCCTCATCATAAAAACTCACAAACACCAGCAACCGAGCATTGTCAGTGGTGTCAGTGGACTCATCCACACCTAAGGAAATGCACTGTGCATTTTCTATTCCATCACAAAGCTGATTAATCAAATCACCAGCCAGTATTTCTGTTCTTCTGGTTGCTGTGGAATCTGAGAGGGGGATTTGCTTGATTTGACCTGTTATTTCCTCTTCTTGTTTGCCTTCAAACATGGTCTCCATCACTTCAGACATGCATTCTTTTATACTTCAGTTATTATCCAGTGGAATGTCCTTACCTACTGGCCTAGTTAAATCAAAGTGGTTACTTTTTTTTGGCTGGGCAGTGTAGTTTTACACACTGTCTTATTTGACTTTCTCAGGACTTAAAACTGTTTTTTGGGGGCAGACCCCCACAAAGAAAACAATATATTTACACACGTAAGGTCATCATCTTAACAGTTGTGTATGCTCATCCATGAGCAGAGCATCAAGTATTACAGCTGAATGCGGCGATTACCATCTTGTTCAGCAAAACGCCTCACAAACTTATTAAGATCAACAGCTTTAGTGCGTTTTGATTCAATGCTGAGTACAGCCAAACTTGACAGTCTCTTCTCTGTCATTGTAGACCGCAAATACCTCATTCCTTCAGTACTTGGGTCCGAAATGCTTCTCGTTTCGTGCCGTCCCGTTCAAATGAAATCGCCGCCAATGTTTGCAGTGGACATAGCGGAGAATTTTGACTCGTTGCGTTGTGGCGATGTCTCGCAGATAACACAGATAACACAGATAATACAGATAATACATATGAAAAGTATAATTTGCTCAGAGTCCAGAGACAGTTGTGGTTCGGTCCGGATCGGGACCGGAGTCCGGACTTTGAGGATGCCTGTCCTATACGATCATTTTCTGATAACGATGAAATAGCCCCGCCTCCCTCTCCCCACGTCTCCCTCTCCCCACGTCTCCCTCTCCCCACGTCTCCTGCTCAGAGATCAGCTGCTGGGCTGTCAGAAGAGGGGGAGGAAAAGAGAGGCTCCGTTTATTATTCTTATATTATTATATAGTCGTTATCAATTTGTTTTAAAGCTCAATAAATAACAAAGAAGACCTCTGACCGGCACTTTTCTAATTTTGTCCGGAAGAATTAAACTTTAACGGACATGTTGACCGCCGGAAAAAAATGTTTAACGGAAACTCTGCTGCACGGTCCCCTCGTCCCTTGGAAGAGGCGGAGAGGTGGGTGTTTTTCATCTGCTGGTGGACTACCGGAGAGATTTACAGCAGGAGCACACGCCGTCCACCGCGGAGAATAAACAGAAAGGCAACCATGGCAACCATGCTCCGGGGTCTTCTTCGCTGCTTTTGGTGTATCTTGTGGCGGCAGCAGCAGTTAATTGAGCCGAATGCGTGTGAACGGAAGACTTTTTTGAAAACGAATTCGGTGCGTAAACGCAAACGTACCCGTTTCGTCCTCGTGTAAATGGGGCCTAAGACACTAGACTAATGAAAGAAAACCTACAGTGAATGCATTAGTGGGAATGTGGCCCTGAACTCAGGGATAGTGCTTTGTGCTCTCTACTGTGTGTGTGACATCTGGTTAACACAGAGGTAAGGTTGCAGAACAACAACAGACGACATGTGAGCACACTGATGCAGAGATATGTTTGTAGGGTGTGTGTGTGTGTGTGTGTGTGTGTGTGTGTGTGTGTGTATATACCTTTAGTAGTAATAGTGGCCATCCTGCCAACCAGGCATTCTTTTAACATGGACTCATAGTTTACCCAGCGATGGACCTATGCACAAACACCAGAAAATTCTTTTGATTATTTATTTATTTTAAATCCAGAACTATCACGGTGAAATTATATCACTTCACCTCTACTAACTTACACAATATTTCAAACATACAAAATAGTTAAATTCTCCTTAAAAAATATTTACTTGGACTTATCAGGTTGAAAAAGTAATTTTACTTTAAAGGGCCCATGTCATGCTTTTCCGGTTATTACCCGTCCCCTTGTGTGTTATGAAGGTTTTTATGCATGTAAACGGTCTGCAGAGTCAAAACCCTCAAAGTACACCCTGTAGCGAGTAAAACTCTAACACAGAAAATACCTCCCCAAAACGCCTCGTTGGAGATACGTCACTGCCCATTTGAGTCTTCCATTTAGTTCCGGGTACGGCATGATGTCATGCGGTACCCGGAACAAAATGGACCAATCCGGAAGAGCTATGGCCACACCCAGCGGCGCTGGCCGCACCCTCTGCCAGCCTAACATTTACTGTTGGAAGCTCTGGTTCAGTTCACAATCGATCCAGTCATGCCAATGCCAAGGACCTGTTTCCTGAAATGTGAGGAGAAATCTGAGCTGTTTGTCCTACCGACGGAAGAACCACGACGAAGTCAGTGGTTGAAATTTCTGTTTAATACTGTTCCTTCAGAGGTTCGAAGAACGTTACTGTGTGCGCGGCATTTCACAGACGAAAGCTTCCAAAACATTGCCCAGTTTGAGGCCGGATATGCACAGCATTTGAAACTGAAGGACGATGCTATTCCTAGTTTGTTTGGACCGTTAGGAGCAGGGGAAGATTCGGGTACACAACCTGTAAGTTTGCATTGTTATTTGTGTATTTATCAAACAAGACTGTTTAAATGTGTAAACGTGTGTCGGACTGCTAAGCCATTGACACAGTGCTAACTGTGCTAACTAAGTTGCTAGGGTTTCCATATATCAACTCTAATATCAGCAGATGGCCTTACATACATGTATCTCATAGCAGGAGAATGTCTGCATTCACACACGAAATACTCATAGACAGTATACTCCGGGTGATTTGCCGTACGGTCAGTCGCGAAACGTAATTACATTATAGCTGGCGTAGCGTGTATGCTACCGAGCTAACCAATGGAGCTAGACATGGGTTTGCTCGGGAAAACATTTGTGTTATGCCAGCTACAATGAATGTAGCAGACTACCCGTATAAGATTGCAATTGTAAACACGTTCTTGCTAGCCTAATATGAATCACTAGCTTTTGTTCATAGTGGTTTTATTACACTAAACAAGCCTAGCTTACTGGGCTAACGACGTTGCTAGCGTTTAAATATATCAACTACAATGTCAGCAGAGAAGCCTGTGACATAAGATTTTCAACTGCATAATTACTCTGTAGCTATGTCAGATTGACAATAAAGAACCTTGAACCTTGAACATGTTTGTCATGGCAGGAGAATGTCTGCAGTCACACACGGAATACTCATACAGTATACTCCGGGTGATTTACCGTACATTGTGACAGTACATGTACATACTGCATGTATAGCTAACGAGGCTAGCTATACATGCTAGCGGAAAACAATGTATTCATGCAAGTTACAATGTATGACCGAACGTAGCAGACTACCCGTCTAAGATTGCAATTATAAACACGTTATTGCTAGCCTAATATGAACCGCTAGCTTTTGTTCATAGTAGTTTTATTACACTACATTATAGTTGCCGTTCCTCCGAGCTAGCGTTCATATCGTGTTTGCTAAGGTAAACAAGAAAGCTAGGTTAGCATATTAGCTGGCAAGCTTACTGTGTTGATTAGATAGATGGATTAGATAGATCCACACTCCTACCACAACTACTACTAACGAATCTAAAACAACTACGTTTCTCTAATATTTTGTGATTTGCATTTGATTGCGACCAGCCAGATCCTGCCGGACAATACATGACGGGGACGGGACTACCACACTGATGCATCGTCCTAAAAAGCCTCGGCTGCGATAGGCAAGATGCCGACAACGGGGAGGAATGGATGATATACCGTGTATATATGTATATTTATGTTCATTTTGTACATTTCTAAAAATAAAGTTTGATGGAAATACTTAGTAGGCCTATCCTTTCTTCCCTGAATTATTTGCTCCTATAACATATCATTCATATATAGCAAACCGTGATTTGATTTCTCATCAAACAGTAGTAGTTTATTACAGGTAAAAATAACTTACTCTTCTATAACAACAGTTGTAGGTACAGTTCGGTTAGTTAGCGTATAAAATATACGGCTGTACCGACGCCAATATAAGACTGATGTTCCGCTCAGATCGAGCCGAAAAAAGCACTGTTAGACATGGGCGGAGCCTCTCTGGTGGTTGACTAATCAGAACAGAGTGGCCGAGCTGACCAATCTGAGCATACTAGGCTCACAGGGAGGGGGGGGGCAAGAGCTCCAACGAGCCGTTTAGTGGAGAGAGCGAATACTGCTGAATACACATGCTTGACAGAGATGCTGTATGCGAAACCAATGTGAGTTTGGAAAATTGCACAGTATAAATCTATTTTAGTATACCTCAACAATGGAATTATGATCAGTGGAAATGGCCATGACATGGGTCCTTTAATACCTAGAAATGATGGTCACGTTCTTTCACGATACCCTTCCATACCTGGTCAAACAGGTCGGTGCCATCCATCCCAGCCGCCTTCATCAGCTCCTCTTCTCCACCAGGGTGGTAGTCCATGTAGGGGGTCACATTGTAAACCATACCTGAACACATACAGAGAGAAAAGTAGCTTAATGTATACTTTTTGGAATTTACCAGACTGACAGCAATCATGTTTTGGATCTGTGAGGGTTAGAGTTAGTGAGGATGAGTCAACTCTCATCACTGCCACTAGAGAGCAACGGTACGCCATAACTGAAGACAGCGCGCCGTAGTTATGGAGGCTTCAATATCTCAACTGTTCTTATAAGGGATTAAAGCAAAATCTATGCTGAGTGGGCTAAACCGGATGTAGCCTGTGGTCCTTATCTCTGTGCTGGCAGGGAAATTATTCTCTCTGCAGATTAGAATCAAAACTGCGCTTACTTAAAAAGCAGAATATATAGCTATAACGCAATGATGTGTGTCTTTGTTGCGCTGTGCTCCGATGTGGCAATGGACTCTACTAAGCATGATGAAACTATCTGTAAAGTCTACAGATAAATCATTAACCTATTACAACTGCCCAACAGATCAATTCCACCTTTAAGATTTCAGCCAAGACACATTAAAGACTATGCAGCGAGGACACAATTTTTTCAATTAAAAGCTAAACTCAAACTGAAAGTTTTAAAACACGCTTAGCAGCCTTAATGTGTCTTTGCACACAAGAAAAGGTTCTGATGAAAAATAAAACACAGGCAATAAAAAATCCAATCTTCCAATTAAGTATGACACACTTGTTCTCCTTGGACCATGCACTTACAATCTTATCATATTTTTTATTAGAAATTATGCATTGTTTTGTTTTTTAGTGAAAATAAAATAAATCCCAAGAGTTTGATTGAAAAATACATTATACCAACAAAACATAAATTAAATGTGTGTGTGGTCATGTTAGAGGACGTGAAGTTTAAAAGGCATGGGGTTTGAACTGGCACTATGATCATAACCATCAAACATGTTGTATGTCGATCTGGATAAATGCCTCAGCTGAAATGTAATGTAACCTGCTAAATACTACAGCTAACATGCAGCTTCCTTTATTCATGTATTAAGTATGAACCATACCCTGTGCAGTCAGACTACTATGCCGGCTCACCTCGTATGCAGGTCCAGCAGTCGTCTCTTGTGTTGTGTTTCTGCAGCTCTTCCTTGGTAACTTCAATCAGGCGCCCTCTGAGCCCGGTCAGATCCTTTCCACTCTTAGAAAAGCGGATCCAGTCCATGAGACTGTGGCCAGGCTTCAAGGCCACCTAACAGGGCAAGAGCAGAGTCATGTCACAGAGGAACACCTGGATATGTATTCTCTTCTGGACATGTGTGAATGACATGTGTGAAGGACCAAGTTTAAATCACAGCAACGTCATGTTGAGTCCTTTTGCAACACAATATAAAGAACATACCAATAGATATTGCTGTTATTTACACATTGGCACATGATAGATTGTTTTTGTATATAATATGCTGAAATGAGGGCTTTGGGCTGTGACGAAACAAGCTTGTAAACCCTTAAATGGCCAATCATATATATATTATATATATTGCTATTTTCCTATATTACACCCATATTACACATTAATACACCCCTATTACACTATTATAACACCCAAATTAAAGCCTAACTATACCCGGGCCATATTACTCAGTTATTACACCCATACAATAGTGTTTTTAACACCCACCTAACACCAATATTACACTGTAATTATACTGTTATTACAGCCATTTTACATCATATTACACCTATGTTACACTGTAATTATACTGTAATTACAACCATTTTAAACAATATAACACTACACATTAGGACTCTCAAAGTCCTAATGTGTATCCCCCATGATATAGAAACCATTTAAGGGTTCCATTAGACATTCATTTTACTAATATTATGTATGTCTCTATAACAATATTAAACTGCCAGGTTTAGGAGAGGTGTAGTACATTTTCTATAGAGAGAAGTGCTTCAGTGTTCCTCACCTTGTTCCTTCCGGACTGGCCGGACGGAGCGACCCGCTGCTGGGAACCCGGCGCAGGGAACGCCTGGGTCGGGATGTTCAACATGTTGTTACCGCTTCGGAGGCAGCCCCAGTTTGGAAGAAAACCTAAATAATGGGAGTTTATTTAGCACATTAACGAGCGTTTTGTAACCTAGTTACACTGGCTTCAAGATATGATTGGTACACGTTCCTCCCTGTTTGTGACACATCTCTGTTGAAACTATGTTGAGCAGTGCTGCTTAGCTAAAGGCTAAGCTAGGCTAATGAGACATTGATGGTTACTACCTTTAGGAACTAATGACAGCAAAGCATACATTCTTGCATTAAATCGCAATTAAAGCTAAAATGTTCCGTGTTTATAGCAATAATTAACAAGCCACAATAACAAGTAGCTCGAAAAATAATGATTAAATGCGAGCTAACTTCTGTTTCTTGGTTCCGCCGCCATGTAAACTACAAGAAAATGTCGCACAATTTGACGACGACGGCAACAAATGGCGTCATCCAGTTGCGCCTGAAATCGGTTTCCCTGTTTTTTTCTCTCTCATCCTTCTATAATACTATACTACTACTCGTATTTAACAGATACAGGAAGTATAAAGTCAGCATTTACAAAGACATCCATACCCAACTACAAAGTAATTTGAGTTACTTTAGCAATGTTGTGTCACGTAAATAAATATTCTGACATTCCAAAGCAGCACAGGTGTAATTAATAATGACTGCACAGCAGTTGTGCCCGTTTTCAGGCAGCAGTAGGCCTATATTGTGCATTCTTGCTCACTAATGCTTAAATTGGGTCATAATTAACAGTACAAATTACTTCTATACTTTTTTTAATCAAACTGACTTGACTAAAATGCTAGAAACCCACCTGAAATTAAACTATTGAGTAAAGTGGTGAAAGACGAAACATTCGGTATTTTCCTTGATCCTCTCTCACTTTCATCATCATCAGAATCCTCATCTGAATCTCTCTGGTTTTCACCTAGCATTATGAAAACATCTCACAGCGTTGATGTTGAATATAGCCGTGTTTACAGTTTAAGACAGTGCACCTCCGGGCTGAGGCTTTTCAACAGGCTAATCTGCTAAGAGGATTCAAGGACAAGGACTTCAAAATAAACGTCCATGGGAACGTAAAGAAAGCTGTTGTGTAATGCTGATTACTATAAAATGCATTTTTTTGGTATGTTTGCACTTGGAGAAAAAGCGAAAGTGGGAAAGTTAATGTTATTAAAGGCTCCGTTATATCACACAGGTTCCGCCCTCTACTGGACTCTATGAGTACTACTCTCTCTACCATGCTGCGAGCATTCACCTACTGAGTTGCATAAACGTAAACGACCAATCGGGGCGAGCCTACCTGAATGCGCGCGCAGGCCCACAGTATATAAGGCGGCTACGCCTCCCGACTGCCATCCTGAAACCGGGACAGGCAGCAGAGTTCAGGTTCCGAGAGGACGTGAGTGCGAGATTGAGAGCAGCTGGTGGAATGGCGTCTTTGAGTCCTGGAGAGGAGGATATGGAAAGTGCATCTGAAGGAGAAGGAGGATGGAATGAAGTAAGGACAAATACTTCAAGAAAGAAGATAGACATGTCAAGTGACAGTCTTAGTGAATCTGATTCGCAGAATGAATTGAAGAAAGTAAAGAAAAGGATTGAGAATGAAGAGTGGAAAGTGATTGTGGAGTTTGGTGAGCAATCCCCAGCTAAGCTACATCCAGTGGCCCTGACTAAAGCGATTCACAAAGAAATTGGATCGATAAAGCAAGCAAGATTTCTGAGCAAAGGACGGATGTTGGTTGAAATGATGAATGCAAAACAACAGGAAAAGTTACTGAAAATGAAGACCCTGAATGAAGTTCGAATTAAATGCCATGTTCCTGGAGCTAGCCCCCAATAATGATGATTCACAGATTAGTGAGTAGATGAATGGTTTTTCTCATTCTGCAGTGGAATGCTAGAAGCCTTATTGCAAATGGACAATAATTCAAGACCTATATATATCAGTTAAAAGAAAAACCAGACGTTATTTGTATTCAAGAAACAGGGCTGAAGACTCATTTGGACTTCATAATTACATTGATGCGCCGGTGAAGATGGCCGCATCGTCTTTGTGCTCCTCTCCAACTTTGCCCATTTTTGTATTTGTACATATTTCTTTTACTTTTGCCGTTTTACTTTTAACATGGTTCGCAACATGCTAGCCGACCGCACCTACTCTGCCATACAATATAGCAGAGAGGAACTTTTCCAATTGCGAAACTTCGTGGACAATATTAACCCTCCGACAAACAATGGAGATTCACCATGGCTACCTGTTGCTGTTCTACCTGAGAGACGCAAGAAGAAGACAAAGCGGGGATGCCGGGCCGGGTTGCTGGTCAGACTGAGAAAACGAGAGAATCGGCCCCCTCTTCCGAGTATTCTTCTGGCTAATGTTCAATCCATTGAAAATAAGCTAGATGAACTCAGAAGCCGGATTGCTTTTCAACGGGACATTAAGAACTGTAACGTGTTAATTCTCACTGAGACTTGGCTCAACCCCGCTATCCCGGACTCCGCTATTGTCCCTGACGGATTCTCTATTTTTCGTCAGGACCGGACTGCTAACTCGGGGAAAAGTAAGGGAGGCGGTGTGTGTGTAATGACTAACAACAACTGGTGCTCAGATGTGAAGATTATTTCATCGGACTGTTCCGCACAGCTAGAGCACCTCATGATCTCATGTCGGGCCTTCCATCTGCCGAGGGAATTCACATCTGTTGTGATAACAGCAGTGTATATCCCGCCGCAGCCACTCACCGACAACAACACGGCACTCGATCAGCTGTTTGGGTTTATTGATAAAACCGAGACTTCACGGCCAGATGCGGCGTTCGTTGTGGCCGGAGATTTCAACACCGCCAACATGAAGAAGGTTTTGCCAAAATATTACCAACACATCAACTTCCCGACGCGCGGGGGAAACATACTGGACCATGTTTATTCCCCTTTCCGGAATGGATATAAGGCTCTCCCTCGCCCTCCCTTCGGCAAATCAGACCATATCTCACTACTGTTGTTGCCTGCGTACAAGCAGAAACTTAAAAGGGACAGACCGATAACAAGGACAGTACAACGATGGAGCGAGGAGTCAGATTCAGCACTGCAGGATTGCTTGCATCTACGGATTGGAGTGTGTTTGAGGACAATAACATCAACACACACACGGACACTGTCATCTGCTACATTGGGAAATGCATCGATGACGTGGTACCGAAGGTTTCTGTACGGACATTCCCAAATCAAAAGCCCTGGGTAAACGGTGAGGTGCGCGGCAAACTGAAAGCGCGCACTCTCGCGCACACAGCGGGAGATTTGGAGGAGTACAGGAAGTCTAGGTATGATCTCCGGAGAGCAATTAAAAATGCAAAGAGACAGTACAAAGACAAGGTGGAATCTGACTTCAAAGGCTGTAACACTAGGAATATGTGGGCGGGACTAAGGACAATGACTGACTACAAAGGAGCAGCGGGGGGTGCTGCGGGAGTGTCTGCGTGCGCATCTCTCCCAGATGAGCTAAACAGTTTTTTGCACGCTTTGAGAGCAGCCAGGCTGTGGAGGTACAGAGGGACCAGGAGCTACACTGCCCTTTTGTTTTAAATAGGGCAGATGTGTGTAAATCCTTTAAAAGGGTTAACTCACACAAGGCTCCTGGACCTGATGGCATCCCTGGCCGTGTTCTCAGGGTGTGTGCAGTTCAGCTGGCAGAGGTGTTCACAGACATCTTCAACAGGTCCCTGCTGCAGTCTGTAGTCCCCACATGTCTTAAACACTCCACCATCATTTCTGTCCCCAAAAAGACAATCATCACCTGCCCCAACGACTACCGCCCAGTAGCACTCACCTCCATCATAATGAAGTGCTTTGAGCGGTTAGTCAAATTATTCATCACCTCCTCCCTCCCTGAATCTCTGGACCCCCTGCAGTTTGCCTACAGAGCAAACAGGTCCACAGACGACGCCATAGCCCTCACCCTCCACACTGCCCTCTCACACCTGGACCCGAAGAACAGGAACACATATGTGAGAATGCTGTTCATTGACTACAGTTCAGCATTCAACACCATTGTGCCCTCCAAGCTGGCCATCAAGCTCAGAGACCTCGGGCTCAACAGCGCCCTCTGTGACTGGATCCTGAACTTCCTGACGGGCAGACCCCAGGCAGTGCGGGTGGGAAATATCACATCCTCCACCCTGATTCTCAACACCGGTGCCCCTCAAGGCTGCGTGCTCAGCCCTCTCCTCTACTCCCTGTTCACCCACGACTGCGTGGCCACACACAGCTCCAACACCATCGTGAAGTTTGCTGATGACACGACCGTCATCGGCCAGATCACAGACGATGACGAGACGGCGTACAGAGAGGAGGTCGAAAACCTGACATCTTGGTGCCAGGAGAACAACCTCCATCTCAACATCAGCAAAACAAAGGAGCTGATTGTGGACTACAGGAAGCAGCAGGGAGAGGGACACGCCCCCATCGCCATCAATGGGACTACGGTGGAGAGAGTCAAAAGCTTCAGGTTCCTTGGGGTCCACATCACTGAGGACCTGACATGGTCTCTTCACACCACCACCATCACCAAGAAAGCTCGACAGCGGCTCTTCTTCCTCCGCAGGTTGAGGAGGTTCAAAATGGATTCCAGGATACTCTGCAACTTCTACAGGTGCACGATAGAGAGTATCCTCACTGGCAGCATGACGGCCTGGTACGGCAGCTGCACCGACCTTGATCGTAAGGCTTTACAGAGGGTGGTGAAAACTGCACAGCACATCACCAGGACGGAGCTGCCATCCATGGAGGACCTTTACTCCCAGCGGCTCAGGAAGAAATCACTACGGATTATCAAAGACCCCCATCACCCCAGCCACAAACTGTTCTTTCTGTTGCCGTCTGGCAGACGTTACCGCAGCATCCTGGCAAGGACAAGAAGATTCGGAGACAGTTTCTTCCCGCGGGCAGTGAGACTGTTAAAAAAACTGCTACTCAGTAGTATGTATCTAATACCTAATATATATATATATATATATATCATTCCAATAACTTGTATATAGACTCATACTGCACTATTCCACATCATAACTTTATTTCATTTTTATAACTATTATTATTTTTGTATTGCTCATGCTCTTATTGTTATTATGTTATGTTATTATGTTGCATTGTTGGAGAAGCCTGTGACATAAGATTTTCAACTGCATAATTACTCTGTAGCTATGTCAGATTGACAATAAAGAACCTTGAACCTTGAACCTTAATTGTGGGATATAGTGCTATAAGATAGAAATGATGGTCAGGGGGATGTGCAATCTTTATCAGAGAAGTAATTTCTTATAGTAGGCTAACATTTAAGAACAGTCATGATTTAGAAATAGTGGGTGTAGAAGTTTGGATTAATAAAAGGAAAATT